ATGCAAAAGTCTTGTCCTTTGAACTTAAAACAATCTCTTTCAGACTTGCATTTTAATCACTCTTATTCAACGCATTTTCATACTTACATGAAGTGTGACTTAAATATGACTTGTGATCTAAAACATAATTGTTGACTTAGCACTCAGAAACTGCTCTGAAATACTTTTAATATGCAAATTTGTTTGATTCTTTAAATAGAAGAAGAAAAATATGAGACCGAGCTTATTTATTCGCAAGTTCATGATTAGGCTATAAACCCTTTAAATAATTATCCATTGGTTTAGGCTTTTTTTTATAATTTGAGTCCATTCATTAGAACTTGCATGGAATCAATGAGACAAAATGTATTATTATATTTAGTTTAATCATATAAGGATTGCAAACCAATTTCCTTTTATTTCAAATAATGAAGAATTTACATTGAGAATACTATGATTATTATTTCTTTTAAATGTAAATGAAAAAGGTAGGATCAGGTATCAATATTGAAACAGAATTCCTGTTTGTGATCATTTTAACCCTGTCTAGATCCAGTAATCAGTATTCATGCATATTTTGGCTACCCCTTGTCTTTATGTAGTAGAAATTTATTTCTGTGTTGATATAATTTGGTTACAGCAGTAAAACTATTTACCAAAATATAAATATTAAAGTTACCCTTGGAATAATATATTTTGGCATAGACTCAGAGTAATCAGTAATATCAAAGCCCTATTTCAGTTGTGAAATTGTTGTAAACGTGATAAAATGTGTTTACCTAATTGTTTTACATATGTCTTTAGTATCAAAATATATTTAGTCAAATTATTTTAATAATATCCACTTGTATATAACAGCCTATGGTGCTTAATATAATAATAATATATATGATAGTACCAATAAGTTTGTTCATGAAAAGTGTCAACAAAGGGACGTAACTCGTAAATTACTATCGGCACCGCTTCGTCAGAAATATCGACACATCGAAGTGGCACATTTGCGTATTAAAGCGTATTAAGTGGCACAAATTTGACACGGGCCAGTTTATAAAAAGCCTCATCACATATTTTAAATTCAGCATAGGTTCCCCAGAAGTTAAGAAAGAAATTTCAACTGATATGTTGAAAAAACTTGACGCGACGAGTGAAGACCTTTGGTTTGAAGGCTTTGCATTCTAATTCAGTACGTTTAATCAAAACAATTTTTATGTGAGAACTTCTAAAAAGTATACACAATTGGCATTTGTAACGTACAGCATGCTTTGATTTCATTTTATATGACTTTTTGGAGGAAACAGAGTTGTTTCAGTTGAGGAAAAAATGACCCAAAAAATGCCCAAATAGGGTAGTCACATGACTTCCATTGTTGCTTTAAGAAATGGGGTCAAACCGGGGTCAGCTTTCCGACTGCATGGCGACGTTTCCGTAGATATTTCTTTTTCCAGTGATTACTTTATCTGTTTAACTTTATAAATGTATATATACTGTGAATGTTTTGTGAATATTTAAATATATTTATCTATTTGAAAGACGTGCATAAATTACCATAATGTCAAATAATAATAAATACAAATTGTTTAGTCCCTAAGAAAATTTGTAAGATTTTCGCTGCTATTTTTGCTAAATAGGTGCAATTTGGGTACTCGGTGCAATTTGGGTACTGTGACGTTAACATTATAACAAGGTCATTACAAAAACAGGTTGCGGGGATGAAACTTGAAACTTGAATGTCCGAAGAATAAGCAAGTCCAAACCTTGTATGTGTAGTCGTTGAACTCTATGTTTCCACGTAAAGTTAAAATGCCCCTATTTCAAGAAGAATAAACTCACGAAAACACGAAAAATTCACTAAATTCGCGTTCATTGTTTTGATTTTGACCGCCTGACAACTTTACGGGAATATCAGAGTGATTATAAACAAGGACTCTGTGACGGGCAACTTATAATATCCGTGTTTTAAAGATTCTAATGATATCAAGCCAGTCCAGTTCAAACTATTACCACGTGGTACAATTCTCATTTACATATTATGAATATTAATTACCAAAAGTACTACTAATTTCTGGCTATGCCGTATTTACACCACAAATTTCACTCTTAGTACAGACAAGCCTATGCCGCGCCTGGAAAAGTTTTGGAGCATGGCTGGACCTTGCTACATAAAATTTAAATGCCTTTTAAGTTTCAGAATATTAAAAACTTAACTGGATTTTGCTATTCATTTTTTTTTCATTCCTGCAGCCGGAAGGTGCCAAAGTAAACTAAGTTGGGAAAGAGGTTTGAGAAGTTCCCCTCATATAATAAATGTTGTGAGTAATACTGATTTAAATGGACAATAGATGGACAATAGATATATGTAAACAATAGGTGATTTAAACTGTGTAACTGAGTGGACCGTATCAAATGAAATTTATATTGTTATCTTCTGCAGACTGGAAAAAATGCACATCAAAATCCAGGTAAGTTTTTAATTTTCTGAAACATAGGCTACATATAACTTTTATATAATTAGATCCAGCCATGCCTTAAAACTTTCCTGGATTGATCAGTTTGTCTGTACTAGCTCATAGTAGATTTTGTGGTGCCGTAAACACGGCCATATTTTTCAATTCCTTTTGATGAACCTTAACTGACAAACATAAAATTGAGAATGGAAATGGGAAATATGTCAAAGAGACAACAACCCGACCAAAGAGCAGATAACAGCCAAAGGCCACCAATGGGTCTTCAACGCAGCGAGAAAATCCCGCACCCGGAGGTGGGCCTCAGCTGGTCCCTAAATAAAAATGTGTACTAGTTCAGTGAAAATGGACGTCATACTAAACCCCAAAACATATAATTACACCCCAGTTCTATTGTTACACTTCATAGTTTCTATTTCTGAAACATATGTAAATTGAATAGATCTATTGTTACGAATAACAATGGATTTTGACCACAGGGTGTGACGAGCGGGGTTGCTGGAAACCCCTGCTTCTACATCCCGCAAACAAAGTCCATTGTTATTCGTAACAATAGAAATTGATTATTTTTTAAATAGCATGAACATAAGAAATTACTTAAAGTGTTCACTACAAATTGTTTCATGATATTAAAAAAACACATTTTAGGAAATTCCAATAAGCATCTATATGGAATACAAAAATAATCCTTTAAATACTCTTTTGCTTAAAGGTAATTTTTTTTATCACAGTCATATGTCTCTATTCTAAAGCATTGATCTGTAAAAAAAAAGTGCCAAATGGGGATTCTAACTCCCGGATCCCCCCCGGTTACCCAGTGGCCGATCCGGGTTTGGGGGTTCCGAGGGTTGGACCCGACTTTTATTTAAAAGATCAATGCATTTGAATGGTTGGACCCCCCTTTTTCTCTTGAGTTGGGAACCCCCGGGATCAGCCCCTGATTGTCCCCAAAAAGGGAGTTCCTCTATATTAAATATTGTATGTTGAGCGTGTCTGGTAGTCGGGTTTTTAATGCAGACACACCTATCCCTTAGTATGCCGTTCGAATATGAATGTTTGTTTATTCTCGAGAAGAGATGGGGGGGGGGGGGGGGGGGGGGCTTTTGTTTTTTGATAAAATCGTAAGATATAAAATACAGTTATGATTACCTTTATTAAACTGATACAGGTAAGTACTTTGGGTTATAATATTGCCTTTATCTTTAGTCTCTTCTACCAAATCCAACGCTTACCACAAAATGTCGTCCGTCTTATACCCGTCCATATTGACAACTGTTTACCAGGAGCATGATGTATTTTTTGTTTGTAATAAGAATACACGAAACAGTCAACCTTGACCTGCTGATCCATATTAGCACAGGATTTAACGGAAATATGCAAAAACAATTTGACATTTGTAAAATATACTCACTTGTCAAAGTTTGAACGAAGATAACCAAAGAAAGGTTACTAGTGGGGTTTCTTGTAATAAAAAAAAATATTTTCATAAATCATGGTTTGATATTGTCAATAAATATGTTTCGTATTCTTTTTTTCATTTAATAATCAATGTTAACAAATATAGGGTTTATAATGGGGTGTAATTTAGTTATGCACCTCGGGATACGGCGTGTCTGGATAAGAAACCCCTCCAGCCTCCGGACACATCTATCCCTCGGTGTATAACTGTTACATGAACTAAAATTAAAAAAACACACAAGACTAACAAAGGCCAGAGGCTCCTGACTTGGGACAGGCGCAAAAATGCGGCGGGGTTAAACATGTTTTGTGAGATCTCAACCCTCCCCCTATACCTCTAGCCAATGTAGAATAAACAAACACACAACAATACGCACAGTAAAATCCAGTTTAAAAGAAGTCCGAGTCCGATGTCAGAATAGGTAACAAAAGAAACTAAGCAAAATGACAATGATACATAAATTAACAAAGGACTACTAGCAGTTACTGACATGCCAGCTCCAGACCTCAATTAAACTGATTGAAAGATTATGTCAGCACTTCATCATATGAAAATCAAGCACTATCCCTCTCGTTAGGGGTTTAGTATCATACCATCATAAAATATATGAGAAGAACATAACTCGTATCATGCCAACAACTGGTTTTAGACTATTTAATGTGTTTATTTCCGATGCAAATTAAGACCCTATAATTAAGTGAATCAATATCAATACTAAAATATGCAATCCTTAATGACCTGACAACAGTATCGTAACTATACCCCTTCTGAATAAGTCTATTTAAAGGTTTGGTTAGCTTTTGAGGTGAATGCCGACATTTTTGTGGGCTTTGTAAAGAATATTACCATAAAAGATTGGAGGTGAAATACCTGAACGTATAAATGTATGACCCGAATATTGTATAATTAAACAAACTTAAAGTTTATAATTCAATGTAGAGGCCCTTATCCTTAGTACTGACGACTGTTTAAACTTTTATAAAAGAACCTATTACATTTTACATGCGTTTGCTGTGTTGAAATAAATATTTAGCAAAACGTACTGCAGCTAAAAATAGATAATTTGCACGATGTTTTGATCACGTGAGACATACTGTATAACCTGTGTGGGGAAGTGAAAATAGAAATATTGTAGGTATGGCTTTGTCTAAACCACTATCTGGTAATTTAGAAATATTTTCTTGTCCAATTTGCTCTGAAACATTCAAGTCGCCGAAAATACTACCATGCTTACATACGTTTTGTGAACCATGCATACACGAGTTTATTCTGTCGATTGGACGCAAAAAAGACAACAAAATATCAGAGTTTGCATGTCCAATATGTAGGACAGTGGTGATACCAAACAATTCAAACGAGGCCATTGAAAAATGGGCATGTTCATTGCCGCACAATACCACCATATCAACAATGATCGCGTTATCAAAAGGAGACAAAACACAGGAGTGTCATGCTTGTAAACGATGGAATGAAAAATCGAATGCCAAGTTTTGGTGTAAGATCTGCGAAGAGGCTCTATGTGAAAAGTGTAATCAAATGCACAGCCGAATGAAACTGTTATCCGCTCACGATGTAGTGGAAATTGAGGAATATGGCTCGAACTCAACTGGAATAGATTTAAATGGTATCTCTAAACACTGTCATTTTCATCCTTCAAAAGAAACTGAAATATTTTGTTCTCGTCATAGAGAATCGTGTTGTGTTTCGTGCTTAAGTACAAAACATAGAAGATGTACGGGACTGAAATCAATTGAAGACGTTTTGAGCGAGGACAATACTTATGAAGACCTTCCAGAGATTCTCGGAAAAGTAAAGGACTCCACAATCAAACTTCTAAAGGAAAAAGAACAACATAAGTCAGACTTTATTACAAATACCGAGAACATCGAGGAAGAAGCAGCCAAATTCACAGAAATGACCAAATGTAATATAGACAATTTGTTTGATCAGTTCAAGAAACAATTACATATATTTCGTGATGAACAGAACACTAACTTTAATGTTCGCCTACGTTTATTGGAACAATTTGACAAGAGTCTTGAACACTGGATGCGTGTTACGAAAATTGTGAATGAATTAGGGTCAAGCACTCAATTGTTTGGTCATGTAGAAACAATGAGAAGCCAAATTAAAGCGAGTATCGTAGAACTTAGTACAACATTTCAGAATGATAATCTAATCACGCTAACATTAAAAAAGAATGAAATAGTTGAACAGTTACAGATTACAGAGATATTAGGCACCTTAGAACAAACCAAAGAACTCTTAGTAGATCAGACTGGTGATCTCTACAAATTGTGTAAAGAACTGGGTGTATCGACCGGTTATACATTTGAAGGTGGGTAATAGTTGGAGATAAAGCTGGCGAGAATAAAATTCATTTGCTTGAGAGGCATACCGGAGCTATAATTAATTCGACGGTATTTGCTGGAAAACCAAAACGATTATGTTATGATTTTACATTTGATCAAGTTTTCATTTCTTGTCATAGGGAAAATTTGTATGTTACCACAATACGTGAAAATAAAGTTAAAAAACCGCAGGAAATTGCCTTTGATAAGGAATTAGTAGGCACATTATTTTCTCATAATCATTGTATTTTCTTGGTAGTGGAGAACGCAATTAAAAAGTTTGCTACAACATGTAATCCGAGCAACATACTAGGTAACATGGAAACTTGTTTTTCAACAAACACTAAAGGTGCATCAAATGGTATGAATATACATGACGGTGATATTATTTTCACAACAAAGGACAAAGAAATTAAACGTGCGACATTAGAAGGCAAAGAAATATTTTGCTATAAAAACGAAAAGATTGAGACTCCAGAATGTCTGGCTGTGTTATCAACTGGATTGGTCCTGTTTGTAGATCGACACAACAAAGGTTCATTACACGTTCTATCTGCTGATGGTACAAAACATAGAACATTGATTGAACAGTTTGAGAAGATAGAAAATCCAAAGGACATATGGCTGGATGTGGATGATGAAAGTATATACATAGCTGGTAGAGAGTATATCGAAGTATATTCTCTTTATTAGTTGTAACTAGAGTTTAGTATGGCGCGTATTGTTTACCGGCATATGTTTTCTAACTCATGTATTTGAAACATTCATAGATCATTGACTTATTTAATTAGATTATGTACTTGTATTTCATTTGTCAATGCGTTTTTAATGGTTTTGTTCACATGCCACTGAAAATGAATTTATGTGACAACCCGATATGAACAGGAAATCTAAGGTATCGGTCATTGAGGCAGCAACCCACCAATACATCAAAGCCACTAAATACTTGCAGAGATTAACATACGGTCTTCAATCATATAAAAGTGTACGTATTACTATGGATCAGGCTCTAACAAACACCCAGTCTAGGCAAGTTGTGAATAATTTAACAGAATACCAAAGTTCTGTCAACATTCAATTCTTAAAAAAAAAAGAAAATAATAAATAAAATCACTGAAAAGACTTTGAAAACACACACATTGAATTACGAAGGAGTTAAAATAGTCTTTTGAATAGTTTAATACCACCCCTTTTATCTCGATCAGTGGAATAACAAAAGGTACATGTGCAGTTTACGTATCATGCGTTGTTTGGGTGCTGATACATTGCTGTATTATATGTTAGACATTTTCTAAATCTAAAGCCATTTTGTGAAATGCAATAACCTTGACAAGCATTATCTGAAATGACTAAAATTCGAAGTTATTTTGTAAAATGACTGAAGTTTTTATACGACCGCAAACAAATTTTGGGGTCGTATAATGCTATCACGTCGGCGTCGTCGTCGTCGTCGTCGTCGTCGTCGTCGTCCGAAGACATTTGGTTTCCGGACAATAACTTTAGTTTGTGTATGGATCTCTATGAAATTTAACCAAAAGGTTCAATACCACAAAAGGAAGGTTGGGATTGTTTTTGGGGTGATGGTCCCAACTGTTTAGGAATTAGAGGCCCAAAAGGGGCCCAAAACAAGCATTTTTTTAGTTTCAGGACAATAACTTGTGTATAAGTATTGTGATTGCTCTGAAATTGTACCACAAGGTTCAATACCACAAGTAGAAGGTTGGGATTCATTTTGGGGGTAGTTGCCCAAACCGTTAAGGAATTAGGGGCCAAAAAGGGTCTAAAACAAGCATTTTTTAATTTTCAGGCAATAACTTGTGTTTAAGTGTATTGATTTTTCTTAAATTGTACCACATTTTACAAATTTCTTCAATGGTTATTTACTTTTTTCGAATAAGGGGAGGGTAAAAAAAAATGGGGGGGATTTTGTAAGGGGGGCAATTTTTTTCCCTCAAGATTTAAGAAATTAAAAAGAAGATTTCTTCAAATATTTTTTTTTTTGGGAAAAGGAGGGGGGGGGGGGGGGGGGTAAAAAAAAATTTTCCTCAAGATTTAAGAAATTTTCAATTTTCCAAAGAAAAATTGGGGTCACAATTTATTTTGCTAATTCTTTGTATATAGTCTGAAAACAGATTTACTAAGTATTGCGCAACAGCACAGTGTATTGCACAAAAGCAAGAAATCTTCAATTGAATATAAATTCAAATCATATAACCAATTTCAAGTTCTTTGACTACATTTATTCTGTGTCAGAAACCTATAATGTGTCAAATGTTTAATTACAATCCAAATTCAGACCTGTATCAAGCTTGAATATTGTCCATTTTTGCCCCAACTGTTCAGGGTTGGACCTCTGTGATCGTATCCAGCTGCGCTAGGCGAAGCAGTTTATTATATAAAAAAATGAAGAAATTGTCTTTTGAGTTTAAGGTATTTTATGGAAAAATATCATTGAGATACATTTGACCAACAACTAAATATCTTGCAATGAATGATCAGTAAAATTAAGTTCATTCTACAAATACCAGCAGGGAAAAGTTCGTATTGTCTAAAATTATGATATTCAAGTGAAACCACATTAAGCATGTACTCACTCTTATATTTCAGATTGTCATTTTATGATCTTCTTGTCATGATGGCAAATTGTTCTTACAATAGAGCAAAATTTATATCTTTTTTTTTAAAGAAAATCTAGATTCAAAACAAAAGTATGTCATACGAAGAAGAGACAGATAAGAATGTTTTTGATTGACTGATATTGTTTGTTTAGCATTCAGTAGCAAATAGTTCATGCTTATTTAGGACGAGAACAAATTGATAGTAAAAAAACAGGTAAAGTTCTGCAAAGGATTGACCGATATGAAGGTTGGAATTGCGACTGCCGCATGAATTGTGGTATCTTTGATTGAGACAGAAAGTTTGCCTTTAAAGAGTTCTTAATGTGCAAAGAGTGCGGCACTCTCCCTACATGAGGCATCAAATTTAATGTCCCCCTTCCGAAAAGTTACTTTTATTGTCAAAAAGCAACCATTTCACCTTTCAAATTCTGAGAAACAAGAGGCTCCCCAAGGCCTGAATTGATCACTTTTCAAGAATATATCTTGTATACTATGTACAGTTTCTGTTATAGTTTTCGAGATGATAGGCAATAACTCAAAAATCGTCATATATGGGCAATAACTCCAATAAGGAGTCATCCAATGGTTTTGGTCATAATGGTATTTTTGTAGCTCATGGTTAGTTGTTTACAATTTCTACCTATTATACTTTTGGTGATGATTGGCAAAAACTCGAAAAATAGTCAAAAATTATTCTTTAAGGCAATAGCTCCGATGGTAGTTCCAGTCATATTAGCTTTTTTGTATATCTTGAATTGCTGTTTAAAGTTTCTACCCATCTAATATAATTTTCAAGATAATAGCCAAACAAAAAAAAATCGTAATTTAAGGGCAATATCTCCTATAAGGAGTCCAAAAAGGTTTTAGTCATACAGCATTTTTATACATCTTGTGTTGCTGATCATTTCTCTGGTTTACAGTTTCAACCTATCTATTGTAGTTTTAGATGACAGACAAAAACTTTAAAATGAGTAAAGCATTGTCATTTAAGGACAATAACTCTTGTAAGGAGTCATCTGATAATTGTTAATGATATGGAAAGAAGATTCAACTTCCTGTGTACAAGGTGTCAATTTAAACTCATTAGAACATGTTGTGATTTGCCTAGTAAACAAATGATTTACGATTTGTTTTGATAGTTTCAAAACGGGCTTGCATTGTTTTTTTTTTCTATTATTGTCAGCAAATGTATGGATTCTAACACGTTCTAAATCACAGGTAGTAATCTCGTCATATCGAGGAGCGTTTAGTACAGTGATTTTGTCATAGTTTGGTTAAGTTGGTCATGGATTAGTTAGGTTACTTCCTAGAACGATTGCCTCAGTTCTTTTCAAATGAGCAAGTACAAAACAAATAACATGTTTGAATCTATATTGTAAGTCAAACGGTCTAAATTGAAATTGTTATTTTTAAGAAATTAACGCAGGATAACCAAAATATCGAGATTGGTATGGTTTGGTTAAGCGATTGACATGGTTCAGTTAAGTGTCTAGAAATTTTTCATGGTTTTGGTCAAATTTGTCATGGTTTAGATCCAAATTAATACATATTTGTTTCACCTTAATATTGATAGTTTGTTTAAGGCGCTTGTGAAAAAACGAAGTTACACAATTTACCAATTGACTAAGAAGAAAAAAAGCCTTTTAAACCAAATTAGGTGGGCGTAATCGGCAAACTTGGCCGTACATTTATTAATTTTTCTTTTGATGTGTTCCTAAGATAGAATTTATATAACCACTGCTCTTTTTCACTGGCATTCGATAATATAAATTACAAAAACAGAAACCGTTGCTTCTGTTTCACCTAGACTCTTTTCTTCATATGTCCATGATGAACTCTGCTGGGGATATCATGAGCGGCGTCACTAGTCAAATGATTAAAAACGTCTACTAAGAGTTTCAAAACGTAACAGCTAGTAAAAAAAAAATAACCTATGGTTAACATTTTTTCTAGCAACCTATACATCTGTTGTTTTTTATTTGAACCAGATTATGGCTATGAATAAAAGGAGATGTGAGGTTATATGCCCATGATACAGTAACCCAATTACGAAACTAACCTCAGTAAACGATATCGAGAGGGCACCATACAGTCTTCAACCCTCAACGGAATAAAATGTTACATGTGTTATAACATGGACAACAGTAAAAACTTATTTATTTAATAAACTATATGTGAAATTACTATGAAAATTACTTTCAAAGTTCCGAATTTACATATATGAAAGATCAAAATTTCGAATTAGAAATATGTCGATATCATGTTAATTTTATAAATTATTATTACGAATGAATAAAAAATAATTATGTTTTTGTCATATTGTATATGCAATAAAGTTTCGATAATATCAGAAAAAGCTCTGTGGGTCTAGTATTTAGTATGCGAATTAAAATGTACATTATTAAAGTTGATTGCAAAAAATTATTTAAATTCCAAGATACACGTGTTAGATGTTTAGTACAAGTACATTTAAACTGTGTACGGCCTAATTTTTGACACGACTAGACGAGAAATCGTCGTTCTTAATAGCAGAGAATAAGATGGATGAAGATGAGTATTGGCAACCCGGGCGAATTCCCTCTTCTGAAATTAAAAAAAAAAAAAAAAAGTAACGTGTCTTGGATTCATGATTTTTCTATTAGTTGTTATTGGCTTGGAACTTCCAGTTAATGCAAATACTCACAGATCGGTTCTTTGTGTCTTTGGTATTTATGTGACTTGATAATTTTGCTTTGTATCGATCCGATGAGTCAAGTCCTTTTCACAACTGATTTTTATAGTTTGTTCTTCTTTGTTGGGCTGTTACGCCATTGCCCAGGTTAAGGCGAGGAGAGGGTTGGGCCTCCACAAACATGTTAAACGCCGCCATATTCTGTCTGTGCCTGTCGTAAGTCAAAAGTGTGTAATGCAGTGACTTTCGTGTGTTACTGTATATCATATTTGTTTTTCGCTTATTGGTTTTAACATAAATCAGGCCGTTGGTTTTCTCATTTAAATTGCTTCACATTTAATTTTGTCGGATCCTTTTATTGCTTGCCAAGAGGTATGGGTTATGTTAATTGCTGAAGGCAGTATGGCGACCTAGCATGTACGTCATTTGGTCTCGGATGGATAGTTGTCTCATTGGAAATATTACCGCATCTACTTATTATATATTACTGTGTGCTTTCTTATGTCATTTTGTATTCCAGATAAAACTACTTTTAAAGAAACTTGCTATTGAAATGCATTAATATATTATCCTATATTATCAACGTTAATATGTGAAACTCAAGTCCACTTGTATAATGTCTGTTTATTTTGATCGTTATTCTTCCATCATACACGACATGAATTACAGAACTGAACCATGTCGAACATGAACTAAACCATGACACTACTGAACAAAACCATGACAAAATTTTCAGTTATCTTTAATTGTGTGCAAATGTAGCTATTTTTCAGAATAATTAACGGCAGGTTTATATCATATTGAAATATGTGAATTAACAGACAGTAAACAAATCACTTTAATTATGCATAAGAAACGAATCACAACTTTTAAGTTTGGACATACGCAAGTATTATCTGTGACAAATTATTAACTATATGATACACATTTTAATGTACTAACATATTAGCCATAAATAAAGATACTAACCAGCTTGAATTTATGTTCAGAAGTTCCTTTAGCAAAAAATCAGATTGTTTATATTGTATCATTGTTTGTTATTAAAAACACTTAACTCAATCATGTCCAACTTAACCAAACTATGACAAAATCACTGTACTAAATGCTCCTCGGTATGACGAGGTTACTACCCGTGTAAATGTGTATTTAAGATTTGTATTTAAAATACTAAATGGCAATAAGTTTCAAATTTGAATATGCACGTCTCAGAGACGTAATTTCATAAAAACACTTAACACAATCATGTCCAACTTAACCAAACTATGACAAAATCACTGTACTAAACGCTCCTCGATATGACGAGGTTACTACCCGTGTAAATGTGTATTTAAGATTAGTATTCAATATACTAAATGGCAATAAATTTCAAATTTGAATATACACGTCTCAGAGACGTAATTTCACAGTGTGACATGTATATTAGGTGTGAACATTATGAAGTTTTGCCCATGTCAAAATTTCTTTATCCATAATAGTTTAAAAGATATTAGCCAATTTCTTCAATTAACCTGTTTGTTCTATTTTTAGCTTTAGCAGCCATGTTTGTTAAATGACAGGAACAAAAAAAGAAACAAGCTTTATACTAGATACCTCGTTTTTTATATAGATTAGACCGTTGGTTTCCCTGTTTGAATGGTTTTACACTAGTCATATTTGGGGCCCTTTATAGCTTGTTGTTCGGTGTGAGCCAAGGCTCCGTGTTGAAGGCCGTACTTTGACCTATAATGGTTTACTTTTACAAATTGTGATTTGGATGGAGAGTTGTCTCATTGGCACTCATACCACATCTTCTTATATCTCTTTATACTAGATACCTAAGCATCATTCAGTTCGTTTGGTTGAAATAGGTCCAGTGGTTTCAGAGGAGATTTTAGGAAAAGTTCAAGCTCATATGGTTACTTCTGAATAAAATATGATTCTATTTTTTCAGAAACTGGCAGAATGTTTACAACACTTGTTTGCTGCATACAGAATAAATTATTAATTCTCTTCACCATATTTTTATAAAATAAGTCCTATAAATTTATTTATTACTTTATGATTTGAAATATTTTCATTCTTGTTAATAACATGAACTGCAGAAGTCTTCATCACAGAATTAATACAGACCACAATCACTGTACAATAATAAAATAAATAGGGAATGTGTCCATGGGACACAGATGATGCCCCGATTGCATATCATATAAAGTTATAAAGGGACATAACTGAAGAACGGTAAAAGTCACCCTACCCAAATTTGTAATTGATCTGAGTTTTATGGTAATAAACATTGTGTGTAAGTTTCATAAAATTTGGTTGAGGCTAACTTAAGTAAGAGAACGGTAACGAAAAATTCAGCAATTTTTCCAGTTATAAAGGGGCACAACTCTAGAACGGTTAAAGTGACGCCACCAAAATTCAAACTTGATCTGTGTTTTGTGGTAATAAGCATTGTGTGTAAGTTTCATAACATTTGGTTGAGGCTAACTTAAGTTAAAGAATTGAAACGAAAAATTCAGCAATTTTTCCATTTGTAAAGGGGCATAACTCTAGAACGGTTAAAGTGACACCACCGAAATTCAAACTTGATCTGTATTTTTGTGGTAATAAGCATTGTGTATAAGTCTGTGAACATTTGGGTGAGGCAAACTACAGTGAGAGAACGGAAACGAAAAATTCAGCAATTTTTCCATTTGTTAAGGGCATAACTCTAGAACGGTTAAAGTGACACCACCAAAATTCAAACTTGATCTGTGTTTTGTGGTAATAAGCATTGTGTATAAGTTTCATAACATTTGATTGAGGCAAACTAAAGTTAGAGAACGGAAACCAACTTTGGGACGTAGGTACGTATGTACGTTCGTTCGTACGTACAGACGGACAAGGGTAAAACTTAATGCCCCCTCCGTTACGGCGGGGGCATCAAAACCCCATATTAGGTTTTACATAAAAAGGTAGCCGTTTGTTTAAGAAATTATCTCCAAGATCTATCGTACTGCATTAGTCTCATCCCTTTTAGGCATTTGAAACTCTGGGTGAAAAACCACAGACATCTCCAAGCTCGTCTCTTTATGACTGGATGGCTGTTTTACTTCCAGTGTCAAATTAAATACACAATGTTAAAATGGGATTTGAATATGAACCCTCCTCTATACTAAACAGAAACGCTGAGCCAGATTTTCAATTTTCTAGTTCACTAGGTAACAGTCTAGGTTCAGGATTCTGTCCAACCTGAAAATCCTGAAAGATGACCAAGATCCAATGGCTAGCTCAAACATGAGGTGACTAAAGGATGACATGTTTAGGAGAAACTGATCTTTTTGGATAACCATAGCTACATTGTATTCTCCCATAGCGAGATGTTAGTTGGAGGCAAGACAAAATGAGATTTCAACATTCAATAATTTTATTTTATAGCTGTATAGCTGTCATATTTGATAACAGTAGTGAAAAATCTAGCATATATAAACCACTGTACATATTAAAGTAACTGAATCTGAAAAGATATATATATATGCAACATATTTCAATTAATGATTAGGTTATACAGACTATTTCAAGTAACGTTTTTCAACCATCTTTATCATTAAATATATCAAGTGTTGCCAATTACACATTTATAAAATGATGTGGAGGCTTAAAGCTTTTTACAAATACAATATACACTTATGAAAATCTATTATAAAAAAAATGTGTATGTACGTTTGTCAGGAACAACTGATTGCCATACCATTATTGATCATTGCATTGAAAAAATTTCTGTAACAAATGGCAGGATGGTAATACCTGTATAAATTCTGTCATTGTATTCGAATGCAACAGTTCAATAGCAGTGACATTATTTTTTCAAGCTCTGCAAATGAGGGGGTTGTGAAGCCAAGTATTTTTTAGCGGACAAATTTACAGAACAACTTGCATTATTTAGTTTCTTTAAAACAAAAATAATGATTTCAAATAATAAACAGTAGTGGTATTTTTGCAAATGCAACAATCCTTTTTCTGCATCAGCAAATCTAAACATACACAACTGAATGCAGCATCTAAAAGAAAATGAAAATATGAAAATATTAACAGGACAGGAAATGTTGGAAGGAAACAAGTATCTGATGCAGTTACATTATCTCCCTTGGGTAAATACAAATATAGTGAACATAAATAACAAAAAAGTATTTAGAAATCAGTACATTTAAAAAATGGAAAGGGGCCAATGACCTGTACAGTTTTAAAGGAAGACAAATGGCAAGTTTTTTGTTTGTTTATAAAGATCTGCAAAAACAAAATATACAGGTAGCCATTTCTCACATATTGAACCAAGACAATATTGTATTACTACGGCATGTGCATTACAAAAAAACCCAAATAAACCCTCAGATCTTTGGTAAGTTGGAAGCAGACTAGCTTCAAACCTTAAAATAAATCAGACAGTATAATTTTAATACATGAAGTATTTTTTTATGAATACTGTAATTTCAGAAATTATTGCTAGGTTTTTCTTATTGCGAATAATGCACCTGGATGCTTATTGCATTAATAAGAACTCACATTCTGATGTCTGATTCATACATATGCATGTAGATATTTCTGAAATCGCAATAATTAATCTCACAATTTTGTTCATTCTTTAAAAATCGCAATAATAAATCCTCACAATAATTTCTGAATTTACAGTATCAGAACTCTGATTTGTAGTTGATTAGAAATGTGGGACAGATATCTTGAATAGGTAAATTTCATCAACAGGATGAACAAGAATTTGGTAAACATCACATAATACAGCTGATACATGACAACAACTATCAAAATACTGATTTGTATTTACCAAGAAAAAAGCAACAGAAAAGTGTAACAGACAAACAGCATAAATCCAGTATTTCTCCACTTTCTGAAGGATGTTATGGTTAAAAGTGCTATCTGCATTCAACTCTAACACAACAAAATACCCTGGAGGATTTTTCAATATATAATGAGCAAATGAAAAAAGTGACAAACCTAATGACAATGATGATGATACTGTGAAGTGGTTTATTTTCAAGGTGTTTGAATATTGCCATTTCAAACGGCAATCCTATCAAAGGGGTGGACAGGGGGTCCTTGATTCCCATTTCCCTCCCCTCAACTCCAACTTCTTTCTCCCTACTTTTTTTAATTCCCTACCAGCCCTTACTCCAGATGAAACTCAGGTCAAAGAAACTTTTCCAGAATATCCATATTTTTTACTCCTCCTCTTCTCCTGGGTCTTTCCTCAATGACTCCCTCTTCAGACCCCATTTCCAGGTTCCCTTATCCCTGTTCAACCCCTCCTATCAGTGAGGTAGTATTTTCACATTTTTCATATTCCTTATCTTCCTCGAGGTCGAATTTACACGAAGGGATATTTTAGTGATTTTAATATGAAAATTTTCCACTTCACAGCGTATTATACACATAATGGTAATGAGAAAGTCTTCAAAATCTAATTCATTTTAAATCTGTAATATTTGGATTAGCATAAGCTTGCTTCCAATTTCTTAGACCCTTTAATCTGTTTAAAAATACCTAAAAAATATATTGACTGGTTATATTTCATACTTATTTTTTTAATTTACAATTGATGATGAAAGATAAATAGACATTCTCAAGCAACATGTGAAAAATCTATAATCTATACAGTTTTACCTAATTTCCATTATTACGTGTAAAAATTAAATTTGTGCATTATAGTCCTTTAAATTCAAATAATGCAAAAAATCTAGAAACATACTTTTCATATTATAGATTTAACCCGAGGTAACAAACAATGAACACAAATTGGTATATAAGGCCATTTTAATTGTCCATATAAAAAAAAGTGCAGCAAAATTTGATTATTTTTTACAATAGCTTTGAATATTCCTGATTCCTGAAATGTACGATGACAATGAATTTTAAATGAGCAAAAATTCAGGTGGATAAATTCTTATAGTGGAAAAAAAATCTTTTTTTCCTCTGGTCAAAAGATCATTGAAATGTTCCCCTTCTTCCTATCAGTGAATATATTTTTTCTAAGATTTGAAGTAAAAATCATTGTTTATTGAACTGGATAAATACTTTTGAAATGTCTGTACCACAGCTGATTCAAAATAATGAAAATTCTTCACATAACATTAAAACGGTCCAGAACCTCAATTTCTACACCTCTGTGAATATCATTGACATATGTTATACCTCAATTTCTACACCTATGTGAATATCATTGACATATGTAATACCTCAGTTTCGACACCTCTGTGAATATCAATGACATTTAATACAAGTATTAGAACTGATCAACTATTTTTATACAAAAGTGAATATATTCAGTTGTGATCATTTTAACAAAATTATAAATTACAAACATGACAAATCTAATGACTGGACTGTTAGAAGTCTGCAACAGGTGACAAATGCATAAGAAATATATTAAATATTATACATGAAATAAATAAATTAAAAATTTGTGAGTTCTAATGAACAAAACAATTGACAACCACATGCGAAAATATCTTATACACGAGACATTTGATAACTTATGTGAAATAAGGCCACTGTAATTAGCACCATATTTCATATCACAGCTTATTTCCTATATCACATTTTCATTTGTTTATTTATCAAAAGTAATTCATTAAAAAAAAAAAACCATTCCAAAATGATGATCTTTGTAACATCATGTTTAATAGCATTACATTTGCATCTGTTAAATAACAGATATACTGTTTCTAGCCTATAATTTAAACACAGATATTACCAATTTTCTTGCACATGAATGTTTATGACACTATGATACAACTTGCACTTCTTCAAAAACAGTGTTTGTATGAAGGCTGTATTTGTAAGGCCATGAAAAGATATAAATCTGTTAAGGGGTATACTTATTAAAAGTAACTAGGTAAATCAATTTTATTATTGAAAACATATTTTAGTAGACCTATATAAGGGAACAACCTTGACATCAGTAGCACCTTACTCAAAATGACAATAAAAGGGGTTTGGGTAGGCACAATTCAGACAGGTAGGGAAGCCCTAATCAGATATATATATTTTTTCTTGGCCTATATGTTCCAGAAACAAAAACATTAAAAGTTGTCAACATTCCAATTTACATTTTTTTACATATTCCGTGCACTTTACAGCTTACAGTACTTCCAATGTTGGCTTTAAATATTACAAGTCCATCAAATCCACCATGCTGACTAGGGCGGAATTCTATTGGGAATCTTATGAAGCTTTTAGGTCTGAAAATATATAAAATTTGCATGAACTGGAAATAGCAGAACATTCTCAGGTAAAAGCTAAAGGGGTGACTGTTTGGCTGAGCAGAAGGTATAAACAGGAAGTTACATCAAGTAATGAGGACGTTAAATCTCATCTCAGTCACAAAACTTTAATACATACCCTTTTTTTTGCATGAAGTATTACTTCTATAGGTAAAGCAACAACAATCAATCACAAAAATCATCATGAAAATTAATGAATGCTATCTTCAATTTCACAGAATATATCACATTACATACTGTTACTCAATTACATACAAAATAATAACTTTTGTCAAAGCTGTGTAAAACTTCTTCAAACATACTTATGTCAGGGCCCTTTATAAAAAACTATAAGGTGTAGGTTTTGCTCATTGTTGAAGGCTGTACAGATGCTTACATCCACGTAATTTCATCTCTGGTGGATAATTGTCTCATTGACAATCGTACCACATATCCTTATTTCAATATTGTACTTACTTTAATGTAAAACTTGAATGCTTCACTACAAATGGCAGCTGTGGAGTAATTACTTCAACCTAAAAATATAACAAATAACATTACTGTCCGTTGGGGTTGAGGTTATATAATTTAGTCCAAACAAATGACAATTAACAAAATTGTAATAGTTTTATGTGAAACAAACTTGACTGATATATATCAAAACACCCCTTTTTAAAAGGTCAGGTCATACAACTTTTCTGTTATCACAATAAAAAAGTCTGACCCCCAAGTGGAGAGTTGTCTAGGTAGCAATTATACCACATCTTCTTATTTTTACATTATTAGTAGATACATGTAGAGTATTTTGAGCTTGCATTAAGTAACTGCAAAGGTAAAGAATTGATTTTCTTTCCACTGCCCCTTAGCGGTTGTCATATATTTCAATATGACTGAAGAGTACTTTACCTAGACTGGTTTTCAATGCATGTTTCAAGTAATTTGTTCCATTGATCCAGATATGCTATGTTTTTTTTTTCTCTATTTTGATTGTGTAAGATCCTTGGTAGTCTTAGTAGAATTCAGTCACAATCTGCCTTGACTCTCATTTATTTAATCAATTTTCAGTTTGGAGGTTTGTCCATTGTTGAAAGCATGTGTTCCAGATATGATATGTTTTTCTCTCTATTTTGATTGTGTATGATCCTTGGTTGTCTTTGTAGAATTCAGTCACAACCTGCCTTGACTCTCGTTTATTTTCAGTTTTGAGGTTTGTCCATTTTTGAAAACATGTGTTAAGTGCTAAATAACTAACTTTGGTTGTTGGTTTGCTGTCTCATTGAAGCATAACTTTCATCTCAAATATTTCTTACAAAGCATATGCAGAGTTGTTAACAGTTTTCTATGAATGTATCTTTGTAAATGAAAAGAACTACTAACAAATAATGGCAAATTGATTTAAACAATGACTTACAGTTTGTGGAGCAGAAGATCTGTTCTTTAATTGGACTTTCAACATTTGTACATGTCCAATATCACATGGTGAAAACTTCTGTGTCTCTTCTTCATTCTCCAAAGTAAACAATGATGCTTCATTCCTAAAATATAACAAAAGCCATCAGTTTCTAACAAGTGCCAATGTTTCAACCTCACTAAAGTAAACTATTTTTATCATCAGGATGATTTTCTTAAACAACGCAGTCAGTAAGTTAGAGTTGGCCTTGTCTTTCCTAATCTCTGAGCCAAAAGCATAATCTCAAGTTAATATGCCTTAAAACTTATGTCTTGTTTCATTCTCTAAACTTATGCTTGTAGTCTAGATATGAATATATATGACACTTCTTTTTTCTGTTATGTCATAACATTTAACTGTTTAGTAATTTATTGTCAATTAAAACAGAAAGTGAGTGACAAGATAAATATGAGTGCTACACATTGTCACTTAGGGGACTTTCATAGTTTACTATGCTGTATAGATTTGGCTCATTGTTGAAGGCTATATGGTGACATATAGTTGTTAACGTCTATGTCATTTGGTATCTGGTGGAGAGTTGTCTTATTGGCAATCATACCACATCTTCTTATTTTTGTAATGACAGCTTAAGTTTGAAATTCCCCTATTGTTATTTAATTGATTGATCGATTGGTATTTAACACTACTTTCAACACTCTTGTGCTATTTCGTGGCGGTCAGTTTTTATTAGTGTAGGAAGCCAGAGTGCTCCGAGAGAACCACAACCTTCGGTAGGAAAACTGACAATCCTAGTCAATTAAGATTGAAGTCGAGTGCACCTACCCTGTGCAGGATTCAAACTCACAACCTCAGTGTTGACTGGCTAGTGATACAGTAGTTTGAATACTTAGACCGCTCAGCCACCAAGGCCCCTCTTGTTATTTAAAGCAGTAGAGCTTATTATTAAAGCATTAAATTATTTTGACATCCAGACTTGGGAAATTTCTTAACAAAAATAACCATACTATCATTAAAGTTTGCAATGTTATAATGTTTTACCTTTTCCTTGCATCCAGTTCTTTTGGTTTCTTTTCCTCCTCAATACCCTAGAATAATAAAAACATCAGTAAAAGAGAGTCAAAAGATACTAAAGGGACATTCAAACCGATAAGTCAAAAACAAACTGACAACGCCTTGGCAAAAAACCAAAAACAATCAAAAGACAATAAACAGTATACAAAACACAACATAGAAACCCCACCAATAACCAGGTGATCTCATTGTGTTGCTCATATAAGTACAAATAGTCTTACACTCAGTTATGTTTTTAGATATGGAGAAACCTGTTTAAATAGAACCCTGAGAAAACCAGAAACCGGTCTTTTCTGAACTCATGTATCAGGTCAATTTTTGATTACTCTTTAGTCATTTAACCTATCATAATGTAAATCTAAATACTTTTCATCAGAATAAAATCATCAGTTCCACAGGGATTTTATTTAGTCATGTTTTACCGTAATAAATATATAGGGGAGGACCTGTCTAAGCAGAACAAAATCTGCAGTCCCACATGAGTTTAGTTTAGTCAGGTTTTACTATCATTCATATAATGGTGAAGACCTATCTAATCATAAGAAAATAATCAGTATAATAGGGGTTTAATTTAGTCAGGTTTTACTGTTATTCAAATAACATGTATAATGGTGAAGACCTGTCTAATCAAAAGAAAATAATCAGTATAATAGGGGTTTAGTTTAGTCAGGTTTTACTGTTATTCAAATAACATGTATAATGGTGAAGACCTATCTAATCATAAGAAAATAATCAGTATAATAGGGGTTTAATTTAGTCAGGTTTTACTGTTATTCAAATAACATGTATAATGGTGAAGACCTGTCTAATCATAAGAAAATAATCAGTATAATAGGGGTTTAATTTAGTCAGGTTTTACTGTTATTCAAATAACATGTATAATGGTGAAGACCTGTCTAATCAAAAGAAAATAATCAGTATAATAGGGGTTTAGTTTAGTCAGGTTTTACTGTTATTCAAATAACATGTATAATGGTGAAGACCTATCTAATCATAAGAAAATAATCAGTATAATAGAGGTTTAATTTAGTCAGGTTTTACTGTTATTCAAATAACATGTATAATGGTGAAGACCTGTCTAATCATAAGAAAATAATCAGTATAATAGGGGTTTAGTTTAGTCAGGTTTTACTGTTATTCAAATAACATGTATAATGGTGAAGACCTGTCTAATCATAAGAAAATAATCAGTATCATAGAGGTTTAATTTAGTCAGGTTTTACTGTTATTCAAATAACATGTATAATGGTGAAAACCTGTAAAATAAGAATAACATTGTCAGAGATGTTTAAAATTCAGGTACCATATGCATTGAACATTTAAAAATTCTTCAACAGATAACAAAATCCATTGTAATGACTGAATGAAGTAGTTTTAAAATAATAAAAAAAAACATCAGTTTTAAATTTATAGTAGCTTAACAAATCTATTTTCGTGTCTTTCATTCATGCTTTTAATACAATACATAATTGTTAAATATTTACAACATTACCTCCCCTTTAAGCTCGATTCTAACACTGTTAGTTGTTGATCCTCTGGACTGTACTTCCCAGAATTGTGAAAATGTTCCTTTAGATCTGGGCATAAACTGTACACATATCTAAATAGATAAACAAAAGTGACTTTACTCAAAGTGTTCAAAAAATGGAGAGCAAAAAACAAGAAAATGACAAACAAAAATTAAATTAAAAAACCAATTAAGAAAAGTATAAATAAAAAATGAATTACAGACATATTTTTTAAAATTCACATAAATTGTGACTGTTAATAGGAATTTGCCATTAGGTCGTAGGATTTTTTACTTACTTGTATGGTATGTTTGCCGTCTAAATGTCCAAACTTTTCAGAGAATGAGAACACTTTGTATGTAGCTCTGAATACATCCTTAGAATTATCTGCTCCCTGTCAATGAAAGTAAAACTCTTAAATAATCTTGATCCAAGAATTAATGCTTTTACTTATTAAGATGTATGCCATTCCCAGTATACTTATGCTATAATCTATTAAAACTAAATATAGCATTTTGTAATCATTCAGCTTTGTTACTATATTTGGATGTCTGCCTAAAACTAAATGTGTGTTTGAACAGTACAACGAGTGCCTCAAAAATAACAAACAACTTAATGCTGATAATAAATCTTCTATATATATATATATATATATAAAACCTGTTAGTCAAATGCGTTTTGTTTCAATATACTTTTTCACTTTTTTGGTCTTTTGGAAAATGTTGTTTGTGCTGTATTTAGACCCCTCTACCAAGAAATTTGTTTTACATGCATACATATAAAAATTACGGTTTTATCCAACACAATCATAGGTTTGAACGTTCAGGGTTTTTTTTCTGGGTATTTTGGGAAAAAGGACCCAGGCCAGTTTTGAGAATTTTTTCACGCGCTTTTCAATGAAATTGGGAAAACAGCAATTATACCAGATTTGAGTTTTAGTGTGTTTAGTTTATTAAAAGTTATCTTTTATTGTGAAAATAAAGTAAGAAACTTCCAGATTTTTACTGGCCCTTCAAAATTGAGAAGAAATTACCTCTTGGAATTGTAGTAATATGTTTACACTGGCTATAAAAACATCTACATGTAATATCAACATTTATTAATGATAAAGAAAATTACTGTCACATTTTATTGGATTTTGACATGAAAATTTGTGAACTAAAAGTAATTTTGAGTTTCTGTATAAAATATTTCCTGCTTTTTCTTTCTTTTCCATATATCTTTTGGTTTTCAATTCTAGTGTTTATATTTCATCATCATAGATGTATTTTGTCACCTGCCTGGAATTATTATTTTTTTTATTGTATTTGATCGGCAAACCCAGAATTACCCTTATCTGCCCTGGAATCTGATCCGGTATTGTAATTGTCTTCATTTTCGGTTTATGGCATCCATTGTTTTTCAATGTTGTTTTTGTCAGTCAGATACGATTTTACTCAGATTTACACATAACTTGTTGGCAATTTTTGGCATAAAGCTAGCGGTTGAACAAAATGAACATCACTGTCATAAATAATGAAGATGAAAACAAATTTTGAGATCGTTTGGGAATTTTGCTCCCAAAATTGAGAAAAATGTAAGTTAATTGTCATTGGGAATGGGTCCGAATACCAGACCCTGTGGAATGCTAGAAAAATCCATGACGTTGTTTTCAATTTAGACTTATATATATTATAACAATCAATTTACCTTTTAAAGAAAAAAAATCAAAATATACATTTTTGGGGATCAGGTCTTTGTTTTTGAGAGCAAGCACTGAGCATGCCCAAATGTATCATCATGATGATAGCTCTTATCATAGTAATTAATGCAGTTTTGAAGGAGTTTACTGATGTGTAAAGCAATACATTTTAAGTAACAATGACCTTGACCTTTGAGGTATTGACCTAGTAGTCAAAGTAAGGTTGTGATCCCATATATAGTATTTGATTTAGCATCTGGAAACAACTTTTCTGCCTTGAACTTTGACCTGATGACCTCAAAATAAGTAGGGATCTCCCTCTTATTGTACATGACCATATTACCAAGAAGGTTCTAATCAGATATAAAGTATTTCAGTAATCTCCCATAACAAAAATGATTGGCAGACGAGTAAAAAACTATATACTGTATATCGGGTTTTTTTCGCGTGTGTTTAATTTTGGCTTCATTCACGTAACCTAAAGAAACGCAAAAATTTTACCCCGCGTAAATTTCCCTGCAAATTCCAAGATTTATGGTTTTTTGAACTTTTGTGTTGTTTGACAAATCACAAGAATATGCATACTTAATTAAGATCTCTGTTTTCATAATAATTAATTGGCTAATCATACATGTCACACCTTTTGACAACACAGCAATCATAGACATGTTAAAAATGTCAATTAGCGACGTACTACTGATTGGTGTCATAACCCAAACATTTTGCATGTAATGTAAAAATAATACAAATCACATTTACACGGATATTTGTATACCAGTAATGATCAAAAACTTCAACTTATAACATACTCCAATGTAAATATTTTACGTTCCTTGAAAGTGTATTTTCGTCTGTAATACTATATATATTTGATAACAATTAACAGTTAGTTAATTAAGTTTATGTTATTTACAACTTTAACAATATGATACAGTTATTTTTTCGCATGTATTTTCCCATTCAGCAAAAATTATACACAGTGATTAACCTGCCCATTTTGTCATCAAATCGCGAAAATAAGCCAATGCGAAAAAATATACGGTATCTCTTATTACTTATTACCTATTTGAGATGTCTTACCTTGACATATGGCGGAGCAAACACTGATATTGTCCATCGTAAAGTCTCAGTAGACACATTAGTAAGGTCAATGTAGGTTTCTAAAATGATACAAATCAGACACTTTTAGTCTCAATATATTTGTGTTTCTTTCAGTATAATGAATATGTAATGCGAAAATAAATTGTTATGACACTATTTTATTTCAGAGTACATATGTACACTGGGACCTACCTGATATATCCCTTATTTAAGTTGGGGAGAAGTTGGCTTGTATTGTCTGTACACTGGAATCTACCTGACATATCCCCTACTTTAGTTGGGGAGAAGTTGGCTTGTGCAGTCTGTACACTGGAACCTAACTGACATATCCCCTATTTTAGTTAAGAATCTGACTTGTGTAGTCTGTACACTGGAACCTGCCTGACATATCCCCTATTTTAGTCGGGGAGAAGTTGGCTTGTGTAGTCTATACACTGGAACCTACCCGACATATCCCCAATTTTAGTCCGGGAGAAGTTGACTTGTGTAGTATGTCAACTGGAACCTACCTGACATATCCCCTTTTTTAGTTGGGGAGAAGTTGACATGTGTAGTATGTAAACTGGGACCTACCCGAAATATCCCCTATTTTAGTCCGGGAGAAGTTGACTTGTGTAGTATGTACACTTGAACCTAACCGACATATCCCCTATTTTTGTTGGAGAGAAGTTGACTTGTGTAGTATGTACACTGGAACCTACCCATCATACCCCCAATTTTAGTTGGGGCAAAGTTGACTTGTGTAGTCTGTACACTTGGACCTACCTGACATATCCCCTATGTTAGTTGGGGAGAAATTGATTTGTGTAGTCTGTCAACTGGAACCTACCTGACATATCCCCTATTTTAGTCGGGGAGAAGTTGACTTATGGTGTCTGTAAACTGGAACCTACCTGACATATTCCCTATTTTAGTCGGGGAGAAGTTGACTTGTGTTGTATGTAAACTGGAACCTACCTGACATATCCCCTATTTTAGTTGGGGAGAAGTTGACTTGTGTAGTCTGAACATTTGGATTGTCTGTGTCAGCAGGTATACAGATAGATGGTGCAGCAGAAACCTGTTTAAACAGTGGCATCAAATTTTTGTTGGCATTCCCTTCAACCACATCTTTTCTTATCTGTACATTTAGAATCTAGAATAAAAAGATCATTCCACATTACTGTATTTTTTGATTACATTTGCAATACGTCTAAGAAGTAAACAAAAATTGAAGAACTTCAAATTTTCCTTGTTTGTAGTAAAAACTGTTGATACAGAGATATGTCTTGCCTGTATGTAATTTTGATAGTACATGTATAATGCAAATGTTTTTTTAATATGAATTTAACAGGATTTTTTTCAATATCGCAAAAATTAAATCGCATTTTAGTCTAAAATGACAAAATCACAATAATAAATGCACGCAATAATTTCTGAAATTACAGTATGCAAAAGTTGAAAAGTTAATAGACCATGACTAAGGGGACATCAGTGTATAATCTCCATGGAAATGAGATGTGCTATTGATAATGCAACTGAGCTTTCACAAACTTTAACATGTAAACTATGCAAAAGTGCATAGACCATGACAGCGGGAGTAAGGGTGAAAAAATCTCCATGGATGTGAAATGTGCTATTGCTAATACAACTGCAAACCAAATATCATAGACTTGCCATTAGTTGTTCTTCCTAAACTGACCTAATCACAAACTTTAACAAATTCTTGCACAAACAATGACAAGGGAAACAGCTCGCCTAAGTCTCACCTACACGACTTTGTCAAAGCAAGGCAAAAATCATTGATTCATTGGTAATTACAATTCAGATTTCACAAATTCAAAATTTGTAAGTAGCAATTAAAATTAAGGATTTATTTTGGTCTTTAAACTTCCTTAAAATCTGCCAAAAAAAATCCTTTTTGATCATAAGGAATTTTGACATTTCCAAATTAGCCCTTTCTGTTGAATTGACTGTACCATAACAATCAGTGATTTTGCTAGCGCTCGTCATTTTCATCATTTACGAAAAGGTTTTCATAATGACGAAGTTTTTCAAATCAATTTTGTCACTTAAATATGAATAGTGTAAAAATATTTTCGCATGAAAATACTATAAATCTACCTGTCATCATGTTTTTGACAAGTTTATGACCCTCATTTAATTAACATTTACAACAGGTGTTATAAGTTGTGATTACAGGTAATCCGCTTATCGCCATTGGATGGGTCACTAATCCGTTAATTAATAAACCTCATAAATTATTGACCATCATAATTATTTTTCCAAGTAAAATCGGCCAGTCAGCATTTCAACTTTATTATTTCTCAAACGACCACAATTTGCAGTTTGTTTATCATAGTTTCGTCATTTGAACAAAATGTTTTCCCCTGCGGACAGTTCGCATTTCAATTTCAATATTTCTCAAAAGATCACAATTTGCAGTTCGTTTGTCGTAGTTTCCTCATATGAACAAATTTTCGTCATATTTTATATAACTTTTCATCAAAACTGTCAACAATTTCGATTAAAGAGAAAGAACTTTATTCCAAACGTTCAGAAATATTTCCACAAGTCAAACAGGTGCTTCCTTGACTATGTACTGTGCATGCGTGAAAGTATTCTTTTAAATTAGACATTAAAACATAAAATATGAAATCATTTAGTATCAAAATAAACGAAGGAGACAAATATATTTCTTACTAAGCAACTTGATTTAGATATATGATAATTTCCTGTCTTTTGTGAAACACGAACCAATCCGTAGATGAATCCGGATTCATTCTGAATTTATTATCCTATTGTAACTTCCCGTTTTCATTTCATTTAAAAATCGAAAGTAAACGTAATCTATTCTTGATTAATTTACAATATACAGTCATTAGAATCGTTTCAACAAGGATTTGTACAAATCCTTGGTTCCAAGTTTATATATAGAAATGAATTCCAAATATCGATTTAACTGTTTTTACAAGGATAATGATGATGCAGTGAAATAGTCGCTACAGGTTCATTTATGCTGTGATTCCTGGTTTAAAAAAAAAACCCAACTTTTGTTGATCAGGAATGTCCCCTGAATAACTGAAGTGAAATTGTTAACTAGAAATCTGGATCCTTATTAGATCTTATTATAATCTTCATATTTAAGCACCACATCTATCAAATTATGCAATAACTGCCTGAGCATGCCTAAGTCCTTCAAAGATGTATAGCTAGTAATACATATCTTTGGTCCCTTGCTGTTACCCAAAATATGGTTGATTTTCATTTCGTGCAAAAGTGACTAAAGCCCTCAAAATCCTAGCTGAAACCCTGACAATGATGATATCAAGAAATATAACCAAAGCCGGGCCAAGAATAAGATCTTTGCATGTGGGAGATATATTCCATAACTAAAATTTTAATTTCCAAACTTTTATAACAGCAAATTCCAATAAACTCAATATCAGTATTTTCATCCAAACAACTAAGTACTGGCTTTTGATATTGCCATTTGATAAGGGACTTTCCGATTTGAATTTTCCTTGGAGTTCGTTTTTTTTGTCATTTTACTTTTTTTTCAGGGCTGGTGATAACCTGGAGGACTTACAGCCCACCAGCAGAGGTATCAACAACAATGACAGTACCAATCTTACTGCACCATCATACCTTGTACTGATGTTCACAGGATATATGGACTGTTCCCTGCCATGGTAAGGTTTCCATGTTCTGTAATACTCTGGCACTAGGGCTAATGCATATAGATGTTGTGCTCCTGTAAATAAAATCATTTTTATGTACAATTAAACCTTGAATAAACAGATCAATTGGTTTAACATAGGCTTAGGTATGTTTTAATTCAGTTTTTCAGATGGGTAGTTTCATAGTGCATACATCAAAAACATTATTTGTTGAATATCAATCGTTTTGCATTTGTTTATACAATCACAATGTTTTGGTATTGGCATTTCAAATAATTATCCATAATGTCTAATTGTTCCAGTTTACAAATGTTGACTTGAGTTTAAGTATTCATACTTGAACTTTTATTTTTACACAGGGATCCCTCAACAGATTTACTCAAAGAATAATTTCTTACTTTGGTGAAACAGTTACTGTTTCAGGTGTAATCTTCACCCACTGTCCAAGCCATGCCATTTTAAACCTGAAATAAGTGCAGTGTATTTGGTAAAAAAAAACAACACTAATAATAAAAAAAATTATGATTAAATAAAACATAAAGAACAGAGTTTGTCTCTAGTGCTGCTTTGACACTATTTGTTGTATTTCTTTGAATGTTGTAGTCTGCAATTTGTTGATGTGTTCTTCAATGCCATAATAGTGTTCATGACATTGACCATAGAATTCCCCCTAAAATCAGTGCTATTGGCCATCTTGAACTTGCAGTGAGATGTTAACTACTGCTCCATGTTGAATGCCTTACTGTTACTTTGAGATAATGAACATCAATAAAAGCACAGTTCCTTTGCTTGTGTCAAGTGTGTGTAGGAATTTCCTGTCATAAATCAATACTACATATCCCTTCTTTTTCATTATACAATGTTGACTTTAGAAAGTAAATAATAACACTAACGTTCTCAAATTCTGAAAATTTAGTAAGTTACATGATTGATTAATTGATTGTTGACTTCTTGCCACTTTAGAACATAATGGCTTTATCATGGTAAGATTATTAACATCAAAATCTCTATTTGTTTCTTTTTTTTCATTTAAAATAAAAGCAAGACACTTTCCTTTACACAAAGATATTTATGCAAATCCTTCTATTCACATTAAACAAATACGTCAGACTTACGCAAGTTCTCTATTTAGGAAGTTGATTATCTGGAACTTGGAAACATCAGGTCGATCGTCAACTGTAAAATATATTTTATCCTTTAGTAAGTTAAATATAGGGATAGTCTGCTGGTACCCTTATAACTTGAACTAGAATGTGTGTCTGGACCTTAGTAATGACCTACTCTCAAAACCAATATAAAATGGTCCTGATTCAGACATGGAGCCTGAGACGACAAAGAGAAATAATCTTGAAATAGTGCAACAAAATTATTTTTGACTATATAGGAGGACTGTAATGGGGAAAATTGTTATTGATAGCTTAAACCTTGCATCAGCGGAAGGCTATTTTTCATTGTGACAAGAAAATGGTTGAAATAACATATTTTGATTTATTTTGAAATCTATGATGGGATATTGTAGTCAAACAACATTTGGGAGGTTATTACCTACATTGCTAACTGATTCATTTTATTAATATTCATAGACATTTCTCAGAGACTTGCTGCAAACATAATCACAGTCATGTTAGCACTTGAGATCACCCCAGGTTTCGGCGGGGTTCATGTAGGTCAGTCTTTAGTTTCTAGTGTTTTGTAGACTGTTGTTTGTCTTTTCTCTGTTTTAAATTTTATTCTGGATCTACTGTGGATTCATTATTATTCATTGGATACCAATTTTCGTGGATTTCGTGGGTACAGGTAAACCACGAATTTAAATGTTCAACGAATAACACATTTTCAATATGTTTGTATGCAGACTTTGGCAAATCCACGAATTGAAATATCCACGAAAATGCAAGATTTTCTCAATCCAGGAAAATTGGTACACACGAAAGTTAATGAATCCACAGTATCCAACTTATGACTTTTGATTTTCCTTGTGATATCTTTTGTCTTTTTTTCCATTCCAGAATGAATTTCTGAATTGTGTTATATATAGATTTTTCCGCTGCATTGGATGTGGTAAGATATTTATCCACTCGAGACAGTTAAATTTTCAAATTTAAAATTTAACTGTTTGAGGGTGGATAAATATAGTATTACAGGAGATTTGGTGGTGGAACCTGTTTTTCTAATGATTTTTATACGATATGCAGGCAAACTTATTCCTTCTTTTCAAATGATCAGCAAAAAGTTGTGTTCTTTCTATGTGAGGTCATCAGACATGGTCGCCTTTTTTCACGAAGTCACAATAGAAAATTCAGAGGAAAACAAGAAAATTTGACATCATAATCGAATTTTGACCAATGAATAAGATCAAATGAACCACACGTTTATTAAGTAAAAATATTCAACAGGTCAGGAAAAAGTTAAATCAGGTAAGAATTAGAGAAACTTAATATAACACTGTATGTAACACTCAGAAATGTGCCCATCCCCCCAAATGTGTCCATATGACGTCGCTGAACTGCAAAACATGTCTAGTTGCTAAAGGGCGCCAAAACGTGTTCTGTTTATAAGCGCCCAATTATGTCCATTTAATTAAAAAAAAGGCCAAACGTGTCCGGTTTATATAAAACCGTAAAGTCTCCATTTTAAAGCACAGAAACCACTTTTGCATGAAGCAGGTCGTACAATACCCTCATACATTATATAGCCATTTAGGTATCATCGAAGAATATTAGTACAATAGAATCCACTTAGTAAACAATTATTAAAACTGTACTAAACTAATAAATTGCAATGTTTATGTTTTTTTTAAATACGCATGACATATTTGCCACTGGGCATTAAGCAATCAACATTCAATAGTTAATTATGTGTATATTTATACATGTATTATAGCTTATAATTATACTTAATAAAAAATAACCGGCGTTGAACAAATTAATGATAATAAATTACCACTTCATTAACTGTGAAGCACCGTGAAAATTTACAAGATAAAATATATTAAATTTTTAATTGTGAAATACTTCTATCTGAACTTTATATAAAACATTATTAAAACCGCTGCAAGTAAAAATAACTTTTTATTGTGGGATTCTTTTTTAACCTGGTGTCTATTTTTTTTTAAAGCAGAAGTCACTGTGCACAATGTAGCATGTCTTGAACATTTGTCTATACGGCTTACTAAACTTTCCTCCAGATTTCTTTGGGTAGCTACTTTGATTTTTTTAAGAATTCAACCGAACCAGACGTCTTTTATCGTATCCCACGCCATATAGTTGCCATTAACGATTTTGACTTCACAAAGTTATATTGGCGCTAAGAGTTTTGAGACGTTGTGGCGTTTTTATCTGGACACATTTTGGCGAATAACAATTATCGGACATGTTTGGGGATGTGAAATCGGACATGTTTGGGTGATTTATGATTTGAAGGACACGTTTGGGGGTATCGGACATGTTTTGGGGGATGGACACGTTTGGGAGTGTTACATATATAATGCATTATTATAAAATTAACTTTTTGTACATCATGTGTGTTATATAGTTTACAAGTCTATGTGTATAACCATCATTATAGAACGTGTGTTACCTTTAGTTGGAGCATGAAGTATAAGCTGTTCTGGTTTTATTACCCAATCTGATTTATCATCATGGTCTGTCAGTACAGATCTTGTGAACAGTGGGCCAATGAAGGGACTTGGCATAGTTTGGGACACGGACTCCTTCATACTGAAAGATAATCAAAATCTATCAATACAAGGACAAACAGATGGACTTGCAAATTAGGGACATTTAACCATTTTTTTAAAATTATAAAACTTTGTAAAGATAATTAGAAAACAAATTATGTATTGCTTAACATGTGAAGTTTCATTTTTACTTTTTCATTAAAGTTTGTGAATAAAACATAAATATCTTTACAGAATGTCTGATGAAACATTGAAACTATTTCAGTCCCATGGAGAAATGAAATTTATCCAGGATAGCTCAGGGAGACAACAAATTTTAACCCTGGTATCTATGATGAGTTTATTTGTATTAGCAGAATCATATTTTGTTGTACATGAAACATTTCTGTGTTCAAAATGTAAAACCAAATGAATTTAGAAAGTCTGTTGTCTTTTGTTAACAAAATGCTACTTGCCTGTTTGTTGATTTGACTGGTATCATCGAAACATCACTGACATGGGTACCAGTTGACATTGTTCCTGCTAAGTGACAAGATGTTTGGGAAGCGTTACTTGGTATACTTGCTGAGAAATTTTTGTCTAACACATGGCTTGCTGGCATTGAAGAAGCCATATCACTGTGAGAAAAGGAAGGCAGAGATCTTGCAGGCATATTCCTTGATGGTATTTTGTCACACAGGTAGTCAGACGGCATAGACGATGCAAGATTACCATGGTTTCGTAAATTCTGGGGTGTGGCAAAATCTCCATTTTGCATAGTGGATGCAAATTTCCCATGACTACTAGAATATACTCCTGTAGGTGCAGCTGAGGCTACCAAGGTCAGTGTAACCTTGGACATATTCTTATAGAACAGGTCAATGTCTTTAGATGGTCCTACACCCATTATGGCCGACGGTAGATCAGCCACAGCATCTTCATCTATATATTGTGTGTTAAAGTTAATGGAGTATAAAATATTGTCATCACAAAGGGATCTACTGATCCTTCTCCCACTTTGCTTCATATGTAGTACTCTGAAAATATAAACTTCTATCATGAATTCAATTCTGAGTTAGCAAATTAATGACTGAATCGTATACATGTTCACCAATTTTCTAGCAAATGGTGAATTTAAATTTTTACTTTTATTAAGAGCAGTTTTGAAAACTATCAGGTGTTAAACCATAATTTCTCAGTTGAAGCTGAGAAAAATCATCTGAAAATATTTGTTTCACTTGAGTAGTTTTGTTATCAATACAAAAAGAACTAGGAACAACTAATTTGAACAGATAAGTTGCAAAAAATTAATTAACTTTCAATGAGTTCAAATTTAAGATGAAATTAGTGCAGAATAGAAAAGAATCATGAGAGTATTTAAAACAGAAAAATAATCGTGAATCTATGTCAATAGGACACAATGCCTTACTTGCATTTTATTTCCATGTTCAGTGAACCATGAAATCAGGATCAAAACTCCAATTTAAAATAATTTAAAAAGTTAACATCAAAATGAATGCGTACGATGTTTCAAGTTGATGTGACTAAAATTTCTTAGTAAAATACCTTTAAAAAAACTTAACAAGATATGTATAAGCACATTTCCATGTTCAGTGCACCATGAAATCTGGTCAAAACCCTCATTTTGTATATATTTTTTAAAAGTTCACATCATAATAAACCGGTGTATCAAGTTTCTGGTTAATGTGACACCTACTTCATGGTTAACTACCTTGACCAAAAACTTTAACCTTAATCCAGCGGTATGTATAAACAAACACACAGACCAGATAACATATTGTCCCCCTTACTATTGTAGGGGCATAAAAAACTTAATGCTTACTACTATTCTACATATAAAAGACAAACTCATTTGCATTTTTTTATTTTAGCTGTTTTGGTCTTGTTTATAAAAACTAGGCACATCATTTCTATGATGCCATCTTAAGCTCTCCTAACAATGCAAGTTTATCTAAACTGTTGAAGACCATGTAGTTAAGGAATTTCTATCGACTTTCTATACAATAGAAACTGTCTCACTTTCAATTTCCCAACCTTTCTTAAATATTTTAACCTTTTTTCAATCTATCATTATAAAGACTTCTTTAAGTTACCTTCTCATTCTCTGTCTACTGACTTCGTCACCAAACAAGAAGGCCACAGCTGCTATTATCTCTCTCCCTTCACTACATAAGGCACATTCTCTTTCTGTTGGGTTAAAAACAACTGTAACACTCTGTAAAGGAGAAATGTTTTACAGTTAACTGTGGAACTCTCCAAGGATGGATAAGATGAATTTCATATCTTTTTGGTCTTCATAATTTAAAGTTTAGACAGAACACAAAATCTGTTAAGGTAAAGTATTGATCAATGTTGTTTAATAGTAAATTGCCCGATCCAGAATTTATCCCATGGGGGCATGGGAGGTACTTGTTTGAGAACTGGACCACACATAAAATAAAAATTTTCCTTTTACTTACTGGTATAACTCTTACAAAATTGAAGGAAAATGCAATCACCCATATTGAAATAATTTGAGTGCCTCCCATCCCCATCTGATCAAATTTGGAACAGCCCTAAACTGTCAACTTTTGAAATGAATCCTGTGTTGTATTTAAGCCATTCTTGCAAGCTGTATTTCTACTCATGTCAACTTTCTGTTGTACAATGTTCAAACTTAAACCTTTCTTGTGTGACTAAAAGGAGATGACGACATATACATATGCAACCTAAGAAAGAGTGCACACGCTGAAATGTCTCACATACTATACTGACCATTGATTTTATGTTGATAGTCCTAAACATAAAGTTTTACTACAAGTACCACATTAACATTTATGATCCAAGAAAATGATGTCAAGGTCAGATAAACCAAGCTGGAAATACATGTACACCTTTAATACAATCATTCCATATACCAAATATAGATGACCTATTGCTTATAGTATAAAATAAACAGACCAAACCATGGAAATTTAATATTGACCAATGAACCATGAAAATGAGGTCAAGGTCAGATGAACCCTGCCAGACAGACATGTACACCTTAAAATCATTCCATGCATCAAACATAGTTGACCTATTGCTTATAGTATTTAAGAGTCAAAGTTAACCAGGAAAACTGAACATTGACCAATAAACTATGAAAATGAGGTGAAGGACAGATGATACCTGCCAGACAGACATATACACCTTACAATCATTCCATACACCAAATATAGTTGACCCATTGCTTAAAGTTTAAGAAAAACAGACCAAAACACAAAAACTCATCATTGAGCAATGAACTATGAAAATGAGGTCAAGGTCAGATGACACCTGCCAGTTGGACATGAACACCATACAATCATTCCATATATCAAATATAGACCTATTGCTTACAGTATCTGAGATATGGACTTGACCACGAAAACTTAACCTTGTTCACTGATCCATGAAATGAGGTCGAGGTCAAGTGAAAACTTTTTTCAAGTAGTCACTGAACCATGAAAATGAGGTCAAGGACAATGGACATATGACAGACAGAAAATTCATAACATAAGGCATCTATATACAAAGTATGAAGGATCCAGGTCTTCTACCTTCTGAAATATTAAGCCGCAGGATCACTATCCCTATGTCAAGCTTTCTGCAACAGAAGTCACAGGCTTGACAAAAACAGAACAAAAACATTTACATGAATAAAATAAATATGTGATGTATATATCAATGTGATAGCAACCCACTTCATATATTGTTCTTTCGAATCATAACTAGTATTAGAAGTTACCTAATCAACAATAAATTAGCAATCTCTGTAGAGGGTCTGCCAGTTTGTAAAGTTGAAAATAGTTTGCCTTGAACCCTCATAATAGGCATTGGATTTAAACTATCCAATACAACTCATGCTTGTTGTGGCCATTATTTTTAATAAGATCAAACAAAAACAAAAAATTTCATGAAGTACCTTTATAACCTAATATTCTTTTAGACTGATTCTTTAAGATAGATATTTAATTTTCCATTAATCCAATGAAAATTTACAAAAATAAGAAAGACAGCAAGAGCTGACACAGGAGGATGGACAACATGTCAAGTGATGGTAACAGCCAGCAGTTTTTGTTATGGTCATGTTACATTATACCTTCAATACATACCCTGGTACTTTTTTCTTTCACAACAAACTCACAGGGTTCAATAAGAACTTTAGGAGGTCGTACTAAATGTTTGCAACTAGGATCTATAAAATTAAATAAGGTATCAAGAGTTAGTATATATGTACTGTTAAATAAAATTAAGTTGAATAGAGAAAAAATTGTAACAACATGTTTTATATGTTTCCTTAGTGAAATGAGAATAACGATTATCTGTAATCAACTCTGACTTTTCTTTGTAAAAGAAAATATATCTTTTGGGGATTTCAGGCATATTATTTTATACCCATACTTATGGAAATGGTTTGAGGAATCGACATGAGGTTTAACAATATTTACTTAAAAGCAAAATAAATAATTGTAGACTTATCTATTCAAGATTGATGAAAACTTGTACTTAAATGGACTCTACATTTCCTAGTTCTGACAAATTCTGCAATCAATCCTATATTTGTTATGTTTATTTTTTAACACTGAAATTTGTGGTTTAACTACCTATATCTATAAATCCAATAATAATGGAACTATAGTCCTGAATATATGCATCTTTATATGCATGTCTCAAGTCAGGAGCCTGTAGTTCAGTGGATGTCATTGGTTCCTGTCTGTCATATTTGTTTTTTTGTAAATTGATTTGTTATAAACTAGGCCATTGGTTTTCTCTTTTGAATAGGTTCACATTTTTCATGTCTGAGCCATTTATAGCTGACTATACAGTATGGGTTTTTTCTCATTGTTGAAGACCATACGGTTGCCTATAATTGCTAACATCCACTTCTTTGAACTCTGGTGAATAGTTGTTTCATTGGCAATTATGCCACATCTCCTTATTTTTATATAAAATATCAGCCTCTAGACATTAAACAAACAACAATCAATCAATCAATTGCAGTAGCTCTATTTCAACTCTTAGATAGACCAGTCCATATCTTTTTACCTGTGAAGCACAGAGATTTAACATAAGCAGCTCTGGGTCCAACATTTCTTATAACTATCTTCTGTATCTGACATTTACTGGGCTCTATTCCACTGAAGCTCAGTAAATATTTCTGATCTGACAGACTAGCACCTTCAATCACACTGGCTCCTTCTATCACTAGAAGACTTGACCCTCCATAACCTTCTAATGGAATCTATAATCAAATATCATATATGTCAATATTATCATAATGAATGGATGTTTCCATTATAAATTATATTATATGTGTTATAATATTTGGACGTAAAGCAAAAAACAATCAATTTATCAATGTTTATTCCTTGTAATTGATACTTGAGGTTGTAAGTTCTAATCCTGCACGTGGCAGGTGCGTTCGAATCCAATCTTAATTGACTAGGTTGTCAGTTTTCCTAATGAAAGGTCAGTGGTTCTCCCAGGGCACTCTGGCTTCTTCCATCAATAAAAACTGACGGCTACCAAATAGAGCAATAGTGCTGAAAGTGGCATTAAACACCAATCAATAATTGTAATTGATACTTTAATATGACAAAGAAGTTGTGCATCAAAATCAAAATTCCAAAAGAATGAATGGTTAAGATTATGCATTTCTTACTTGTCTTTGATTCCTACCAACAATACTTACAGAGTATTTGACAGTCATCCCTACTGGTTTAACAACTAGTTTGGCATGGTGCTGTCTGACAGCTGAAGGACGATATTCAACATTAACCAGAAACTTGTCACCCCCATTGACCATTAATTCTCTGGTATAAGATCTTCTATCATTCCATAGTAACTATAAAAAAACAACATTGTTTTTCATTATAATTATATTAAGCTATCTTTAGAAAACTATCTCAAGTTTTCATATAAAGCCACCTATATTAAGCGAAAACCAGCTTTGTCAGGTCACCCTCTTCTTGTCCCATTGTTTTAATACCTATGCGTTTTGAACCTAAATTCAAAGGGTACCTCTTTCATAAGGTCCTTTTCCTCTGGTACGAGATATTATCTTAATATGCAGGTTTGACTGTGTAATTTGAAAAAAAAAATCCCTTTATTTACTTTTTGTAGATTGTCAATAATAATACCAGTTAACAAATTAAAACATTCAACAGCAATTATTTTCCACAAAAAATATGGATGGATGTTTACTGTCCAGTTGGAAATTAAGATTCATAGTCAGGACGAGAACATGTTAATGTGATATAAATATGAACCCTGCTATGTACTAGAACGACATGCTGAGCAGGACTTTTATTTTGAGGAGGAAAGTGAATATAAAAAGTTATAATCATATGTTTTGTCATGGCGAGGCCTTTCATAGCTTACTAAAAGATATGGGTTTTGCTCATTGTTGAAGGCTGTACAGTGACATATAGTTGCTTATGTCCATGTCAGATTTGGTCTCTGGTGGATAGTTGTCTCATTGGCAATCATAAAACATCTTAATTCTCTAACTACAAGGTATATAATCAAAGCGCGAAAGCGCTGTAAAGGCAGTTAATTACAGGTTGTGTGTATTTTTAGTCCAGTTATATCATTATCTTGCATAGTACATTGTACTTATCAGAGGTGGCTTTCAGTATTTAAGATTTAGAGTTCTCTAATGATATTGAACAAGTTTTATGAATGTCATATTCTGAGCACTATATGAAGGCGATTGTTCTCACTTGTTTATGAACTAGTGCATTATGTCCAGTTAGTACTTTTTTTTATCTATGTTTATAGTCAAATACTGTTTAAAATAGTTTGGCATTTTCTTTTAAGTAATAAGTAAATGTTATCAACTGTATTTTATTCAACTTTGCAAATGTGGTTTGTTACTGGCTGCTTGAAGTACAATGTATGGATGATAGTTGTTTCATTGGCAATCATAACACATCTCCTTATTTATATAATGATCTATATTCAACGACCTCAGGTACAAAAAAAATGTATGTAACTAAACTATGATGGGAAACCTTTGACTTCTTTCTTTAATATAAACTTTTGATTTGGTACCATAGAACTATGTAGAATAAATGTACATTGCAACATGTCAACTCTTTCAATGAAAATACTTTTTTTAGAAACTATAACTCCAAGCAAAATTATATTTCCAAGTATAAAGTAATTTATGAATGAAACAAGAGTGCACACGCTGAAATGTCTCCCCTTCTTTACTAATCATTGATATTATGTTGATAGTTCTAAATATAAAGCTTTATTACAACTGTCACATAAACTTAACATTAACCAAGTAAACTAAACATTGACCAATGAACAAAGAAAATGAGGTCAAGGTCAGATGAACCATGCTAGGCAGACATGTACAGCTAACAATTCTTCCATACAACAAATATAGTTGACCTATTGCTTATAGTTTAAGAAAAACAGACCAAAACACAAAAACTTAAAACTGAGCAATGAACCTTGAAAATGAGGTCAAGGTAAAAAAAAACCTGCGTGACTGACATATAGATCATAAATTAAAATATTTCAAAACACCAAATATAGTTGAACTATTGCATATAGTATTAGAAAAAAAGACAAAACTCAAAAACTTAACTTTGACCACTGAACCGTGAAAATGAGGTCAAGGTCAGATGACACCTGCCAGCTAGACATGTACACCTTACAATCATTCCATACACCAAATATAGTAGACCTATTGCATACAGTATAAGAAAAACAGACCAAAACACAAAAACTTTACTATAACCACTGAACCATGAAAATGAGGTCAAGATCAGATGACACCTGCCAGTTGGACATGTACACCTTACAGTCCTTCCATACACCGAATATACTAGACCTAATGCTTATAGTATCTGAGATATGGACTTGACCACCAAAACTTAACCTTGTTCACTGATCCATGAAATGAGGTCGAGGTCAAGTGAAAACTGTCTGACGGGCATGAGGACCTTGCAAGGTATGCACATACCCAAATATATTATCCTATTACTTATAATAAGAGAGAATTCAACATTACAAAAAAATCTTAACTTTTTTTTCAAGTAGTCACTGAACCATGAAAATGAGGTCAAGGACATTGGAAATGTGACTGACGGAAACTTCGTAACATGAGGCATCCATATACAAAGTATGAAGCATCCAGACCTTCCACCTTCTAAAAAATAAAGCTTTTAAGAAGTTAGCTAACGCCGCCGCCGGATCACTATCCCTATGTCGAGCTTTCTGCGACAAATGTCGCAGGCTCGACAAAAAGGAGTTCTTAATTAAGTAATAAACTGATTCGCTGAGCGCAGCTGGATACACCCACAGAGGTCCAACCCTGAACAGTTGAGGCAAAAATGGACACAATATGTCTGAATTTGGATTGTAATTAAATATTTGACATATTATAGTTTCTGAATAAATGTAGTCAAAGAACTTGAAATCGGTTATATGAATTGAATTTATATTCAGTTAAAGATTTCTTGCTGTTGTGCAATACACTGTGCTGTTGCGCAATACTTAATAAATCTGTTGCCAGACTATAAACAAATAAAGTTCAATTTCTTCTCAATGTCATATTTGAAATTTATGAAAATCAATAGGGAGATTACATCAATAGCTATAAATAATTCACCAAAGTTTCATGCGAACTGCTTAAAGCATTTTTGAGTTGTTGTCCAAAAACTGGAAAATCCCCCCCTTTTTAATGAATAAAACCCCATAACTCAATAATGTAAAATCTAAAATTTATAAAATTCTAAAGGGAGCTTACAGATTGATAATTTAGTCTTAGATGCAAGATTTTTTTATCAGTTGTTTGTGGCTTTGAACTAGCTGTCAGTAAATGCGAGTACTCTCAGATCTGTACTTAGTGTCTTTTTGTTGTTTGGATGTACAACTACCCGGCCACGTCCACTTGTATTTGTATTTATCCATCTGATGAGTTAAGCCTCTTTCAACTGATTTTTATAGTTCGCTCTTACATTGTACTGTTACACCACTGTCCCAGGTTAGGGGGTGGGTTGGGATCCCGCGAACATGTTTAACCCCGCCACATTCTGTATGTACATGTATGTGCCTGTCCCAAGTCAGGAGCCTGTAATTCAGTGGTTGTCGTTTGTTTATGTGTTGCATATTTGTTATTCATTCATTTTTTGTACATAAATTAGGCCGTTAGTTTTCTTGTTTGTATTGTTTTACATTGTCATTTCGGGGCCTTTTATAGCTCACTGTGCGGTATGTGCTTTGCTCATTGTTGAAGGCCGTACTGTGACCTATAGCTGTTAATTTCTGTGTCATTTGGTCTCTTGTGGAGAGTTGTCTCATTGGCAATCATACCACATCTTCTTTTTTATATTTACATCAACAGATATAAACAATTCACCAAAGTCAAGGTGAGACAACAAAACTTAGTGGTAAGATCTCTGAAATGTTTTACACGGTACAAGTTTTTCTAATTGTTGGAGATTGTATGGTGACAGTAACACCTGTAACTGCTTAACCCATTTCTTATGCACTTTGGTTCGATAAACTCACTGAATATCATACCACATCTCCTTATTTTTATATGCATTACAATTTACATGTGCATGTAAATGTAAATAATATTTATATATATATATCAGAACAAACTTCATTGCGTCACTTTTATTTATGCATCCTTTGGCACAATACAAGTTCTAAAATTACACAACATAAAACAACTAAATGTTATTTCAGATGAAAGTTTTGTTTCAGTTCCATTCATAGGATTTATTAGAATTTTGTATGTTTTGCCAAGTCCAATAATTAGCTCTATGTGCACGTGTTAATTGGAGACTTTTCTATCCCGTATAAGAGTTTTGGAACTAATTCTGTTTCTTTTTTTGAAAAAAGTGAGCAAACAAATCTTGCACATTTAAACCTTTGTCTGCCATCACACTGTCACCTGGATCACATAATTGAACTATTCTACATCTTTCAACTATTTCACAGTCACTGGTACAACCAACATATGCATTAGAGACATAGTTGACTAAACCACCAGGTGTCGAACATACAAGTATTTTCAGTGTTTCTGTTTTTATATGATGAAAAGGTTGCCTGAGCTCTAGGAGCTTTAGGTTTTATCACGGGATATTCTGTGCTGTCAATAATAATCCAAGTTGTAGGAAACTTTAATTCTAAGTTGGATGGCGAAAAATACCTGACTAAACCACTAAATGGCCAAGTGTTAGCCTCACGCCACTGTTTAGACATAAAAACAATCCATGTTTACACAATATTCTTAACACTAGTTTCAATCTAGAATCTAGACAGTTCAAAGTTGGTTGTATAATGCATCAATTTCATCAAAGTCATAAAAAAACTGATTTTCAAATGACACCCTATCAATTTGAAAATATATGTATCTCAAACAATGTGCTGTTGGACCAAGTGTGGTCAAAACAAATAAAAATTTAGTATACAACTCTAAACCGGTATAAAAATGCATGGCTGTGTCACGTGTCTTCATTTCAAAATTCTCTGCTGAAAATATAGGCATTGATGGTGTTTGCGTAATTCCATCTGTGAAGCTCAACATTAGCTCGGCAGTTGGTGGTGGACAGTCATAAATCCTGTCTGCAGTATGAATTACTTCTTCAGGAAAACCAACTTTACAATCAAAACTTTCCTCTAGATTTCTACTACAATATTCATCAAGTTTAGTTCTTTTGTTTTCACAGGAAACTGCCCTGATGGACGATTCAGTCTCTTGCTTGGTCCAGGAAAATAGGCTGGGATTGGCAGTAGACTTAAGTCTCTGTATGGTGGGTTTGTGCCCTGAAAAAGGTTATAAAACATTAGTTTTTTGATAATTAAATGAACTTCCATTAGCAATGCATACTTTGTACAGAAGCAAGTTAACTCGTACCATTGTAAACTCGTACCACGTAAACTCGTACCAATGTAAACTCGTACCACTGGGAAGTCGTACCAATCAGAACTCGTACCACTGCAAACTCGTACCATTAAAAATATATTCAAAAATACGAAAGTTTTATGATTTTTTTTTTTGGTAAACTAAATAAAAAAAGTTGAATTACTTGAATTTTATACTAGATTTTAATGAAAACTTAGACAAAAATACGAATGTTTTATGATTATTTTTTTTTTAAGCTTTATACAAAAAATTAAAATATCTTTGAAATTTATACCAGATTTTAATGAAAACTTAGACAAAAATACAAATGTAATTTCTTAATTACCATGCTAATAAATATATTAAATTCCTTTGATTGTGTGATTATTGGTTGATTATTAACTAATGAACTTGGTTTTTTTTATCTTTAACTAATCAACTTGTATAATCATATAAGCATGGTCATATTCTGAAATGTGCTGAACATTGTATAAAAATAAATTTCATACTTTCTAACTGTTGGTCATAAACAATTTTAAACCTTTAAAACACAATCAATAAATTCTTTCATTAAATAAAATTCCTTTTAGAAACAATAGAAAAATACCCAAATCTATTCAATGTTACTGATTTGGAATGATTAAAAATTAAATCAAATAGTTGTCAGTAAAAGTTTAAAAAAGAGTCTATTCAAGGGAGACAACAAAGCCAATCTGCCACGGTTTTCTCTATCCAATTAGACAAGGAAAATTAGCTACAAATTGGTTATTGTAATTTCAAATTATATACATTTTACAGACTTAAGAGGTATTGAGTGAAATTAAAGTATATATTCATCATTAAACACCATTTGAATGCATTTAAATAAGTGGGTACGAGTTTACAATGGTATGAATTCACCGTGGTACGAGTTAGCAGTGGTACGAGTTTGCATTGGAACGAGTTTTTGTTTAGTGGTACGAGTTGACATTGGTACGAGTTACAATGGTACGAGATAACTATAATTCCTTTGTACTCGTAACCTGGCAAAATATTAACTAGATTTATTCATTACAATCTGGATAAAACTATGTTAGCCTGATTCAATGTACATCAAAATGTATGTTATGTAAATCCAAAGGACAAACAATGAGAGACGTATGCAACAAACATACATTGTTTGTACCTAAATAACTATAATACAGATGAGAGCATGTCATTGTTTTGTTCCTGTTAACATTGTCATTGATATTTTTCAAGAAAGTCTATGAGGCATAGCTTATGCATTCCTGTCATTACTACATAAGCATAATTACTGCTAAAATAATTCTCAGTATGATATACCTCTTGTAAGAAATCATTATAATTGTAGCAAGCACCAAAAAATCTCAAACAGATCACATTGAATCGTAATCCAAAAAATTATGACGTCTTGAATTAAGGTTCATCATAACAAATGGACAAATATGGCCGTATTTTCACCTCAAAAACTACTCTGTGTACAGACTTACCTGTGCAGTTAGGAAAGTTTTAAGGCCTGGCATCCACTAGATATATAAAAGTTAAATCTATTTTGCATATCAGAAAGATAAAATCTTTTTTTGAATATGATGGGCATTTTTTTTCCTTCCTGCAGAAGATGTAAAAATAAACAAACACCTGAATTGCATTTGATACTGTCCACTCAGTTACTACCTTTAACTCACCTATAGATGTGTAGATATCTATTGTCCATGCCAATCAAGGACAATCAATACAATACAAATCAGTTGTTACCTGAGATGGAGCATCTCAAAGTTATATCCCAACTTAGTTTATTTTTACACCTTCAGTAAGAACGGAAAAAAATGCCCATCATAATCCAAAAAAGATTTTATATTTCTGATATGCAAAATAAATTTAACTTTTATACATCTAGTGGATGCCAGGCCTTAAAACTTTCCAAACTGCACAGGTAAGCCTGTACACAGAGTAGTTTTTGAGGTGAAAATACGGCCATATTTGTCCATTTGTTATGATGAACCTTAACCACCCCCTTTTATTCTAAAACGATAATTGCGGTTGTAAACTGACTTTGGTTTATTCGCATGGCGATTACATATATAACTATATATTTTAAAAAGAAAATAGAGTTTTACCATGAATAGTTTCCTGCACGTAGTCTTTTTCAGTAAAATGTGCCTTGCAAACAACAGCTGATTGAGATGGACTCCACGATTTCATCGTGTTCTCGTCCAATCTGCGTATGGGCCATGGCGTTGATCCAACTTTTCCTTCTTTTTAAGTCATTTGGAAATGCATGTCCTCCTCTTAAATGACATCCAGGTACACAACAACAAGTACTTGGCATCGTTAATTAAAAATGCAACTGTAAAAGATGCACAGTGCAGAAACCGGAAGTTGAACTACAGGATCGGCTACCACGGCGCCACCTATTCAGGAACGATAATTTGCTACTTTATATAACTGCGAAATAACAATAACGTTAGACGGGTTCGCGTGCATAAACAGAAATGCGCTTTAAATTGTATAATATAATTCATGTTCAGTCGACCTTTAATTATTATATCAACGACTGAAATGATTTATAAACATCTAGATTGCAGAAAACACTCGAAATTAACCCGAGCTCTTTCCACACGGAATTCAAATAATTCTAGTTTGTCAATCGGTTGACTGCTTATAATGTAAAATACAAATATATCAAAAGTTTTTAAAACTAACAAAACACAATAATCGTTTCTCTATTTCCCAATGTAAATGAAATGAGACAAAAAACATTTTATACCACAATAAGAAGAGGAAAGAATCAACATTTTCCGGATCTACTTGGAGCTAAATGACCCCCCACGTAGATAAGTTGGATATCGCGGAAAGACATATTAACACGGCAACTAGAAAGGCATTAAAGCACTGCCTTTAAAAAATCAATGTCTTGAAAAAATTTTTCCATTTTGTCAAATCATTAAAGGATGAAGGAACCACTAGCCTTTTTAATTTTTTTTTCTGGCAATAAATGAAAGCATTGTAAAAAACATTATAACAAACTTCAATCTCTAGGCTAACAATGCAGGTACACTTACCTGGAAGCTATCTGTGTCAGATCTGATTTCCAGAGATAATTTTAACTGTGATCGAATTACATTCTTTAAGGTGTATCTCTTTATCCTGAAAAACAATTAATAATAACGAGGCACTGAAATATCAATAAAGAAATAAAAATAAGATTATTTTCCAATAATCATTTCTTAAAATAATTACTTTTATTCATAATAGGTTTGTCATTCTTTACAAATGTTCAAGATATCACTACCAGATAAACTCCAGATCAAACTTAAAACAAGAATGTGTCCATAGTACACCGATGCACCACTCGAACTATCATTTTCTATGTTCAGTGGACCGTGAAATAGGGGTAAAAACTCTAATTTGGCATTAAAATTAGAAAGATCATATCATAGGGAACATGTCTACTAAGTTTCAAGTTGAATGGACTTCATTTTCATCAAAAACTACCCTGACCAAAAACTTTAACCTGAAGCATGAGAGACGGACAAACAAATGAACGAATTGACGAACAAATGGACGAACAGACCGAAAAACATAATGCCCCTAGGTGGGTCATAAAAAATGTAAAGTAACTTACAAAAGCTGGTAGACAAGTTAAAAATATAAAAAAATCACATTTACAAAAATTCTGATACATAAATGCTATTTCTATTTCAGTTTTATTGCAGTTTTGAAAAATTCTGCTGACTTTGAATTTTATTTAACACTTATATTTGTGGTTCACCTTTGTCCATAAATCCAATAATAATGGAACTATAGAATACAAATTCTAGTCTTGAATATATGCATGAAATATCTGCCACTTGGTATTTAGCATAAAACAATCAAGAATGACTCAAGGCTACATGTTGAAGGCCGTACTTTGACCTATAATTGTTAATTTTTTATACATTGTGACTTGGATAGAGTTGTCTCTTTGGCACTCATACCACATCTTTTTATCTATATTGTCTTCACTGAAACTATTGCATATATCATTTAATTCATATCCACTCTATTTAAGAATCAACTTGTTCTTTCTTCACAACCCAATTTCCTTTTAACTGAGACAAACTGGCATATTTGAATAAATAAATATTATGAAAATAATATAATATACATCAAACTGCTATTTGACAAATAATATCAAAATACTTACATAGACTGACCGACTTGTACACCACCAAAATCTATGAACTGTCTGTCTCCAAGTAGAACAGGACCTTGAATCCTTTGAACCTCTTTCTGAACTTCTACTTGAATTGGGAGGTCATAGTCTGGACCTTGTGGCAAGATTCTCATCAGCAGGATTCTAAATACAAACAAAACAGATGAAAGAAAGTCTTTCAATGATGAATGTGTTAAATGGATTGTCATTGTAGCATGCATTTTTTTATTTGAACTACCCTGAAAACTACTGTTTGACAAAGTGTGTAATCTGCATGATTTGTGTTGTTAAGTTAGAGTCTTGATCCATTTTTTCCATGATTTCTAACAGTTTTTAGCATAATTTACTTTGGCTGCCATCCATAAACCAGATTGTTTGTGTTTAGGTATTCAATATTCACCTTTTGATTACAGAACATTTTGGATCGTATTTTGCAGCCAAGGTTTTACTAAAGATTTTAGGTAAGACAAATGCACAATATCATCTTATCTTGAAAAGATGTTCACACTTTGCAGACTTTGAAGCCTATAATGTACTATTAAGAAGAGATTTTAGTTAGGATTAAGGCTTTTGAAATAGATCTATTTTAGAAACAAATTATGGCCTTTTTAATATTTCTATGACCAGGTTGAAATTCAAGATCATATTTTGAAATAAAAAGTGAACTTTGTCCGTTATAATTATATTTAATATTTAACCAGCATATTTAAAGCTAGTCATACAAATTAGGAACAGTGCTTGTGTATCAATTTTAACTATTTACATACAATTTTTCACATACTTTATGACCTGTTAAATCAATTGAAATCTACACTTACGTTTCAAATGATATTCCAGTACTTGGTAAAATTGTAACTGTAACAGGCCTTTCTTGTCCTGGTGGAATGGTAAACTGTGATGGATTTACTGTAAAAAACTCAGGGTATTCTGTCACTCCTAGCAACAATTCCATATGAATATTACCAGCATTTCTCAAATTAAATGTCTGATTTGCTCTTTGATTGACAGAGGTTTTGAATTGTAGCATCTGAAAAAAAAATAATGCATTGTGGTCATTGAAAATTGTTTCTCCAGTAGCTGATGATCTACATATATAGTATCTAGAAATACAGATCATTGCAGCTTACCAAGAAACATACAGGAAAATATTTCTTTCACCTTCCCACAGATCAAAATGTCTCAAAATGCCTCTTCAAGGAAACATCAATTGTCAAAGTGAATATATTTAATGAGTAGCAGTATGGGCAGGAAGGGTCAAATTCAATTAAATCAAAATAATTTTTCATCATAATTAAAAACCAATCAAACATATACATCTACTCCATAATATTTTATATTTACAGTATCCAAAAGATGATTCAGTTAATAATCACGCTAGGTGGTGATTTTCCAGCTAATGCTGGTGATTGAGAGTGATTCATTTTGAAAAATCTCTGAATATTCAATAGATTGCTTGTATGACAGTGTTGTCTCTTTCAATCACCATATTTCACAGTGAATAACCTTGTCTACACTGGATCATAATTTCAAAACATTGTTGGTTTTATAAAATAACTGTTTCAGTTATACATGAATGGTTGAGTACTCAGGGAAGGCTCTTTCAAAATGGGAGTTACCACCTATAGAGGCCAATCTAAAATTTCTCCTAGATTTTTACTGAGCTTGACACCCATCAATTGTTGAGAATTCAAAATGTCTTCCCTAAAAGCCTTAACATGACTTTTAACAATTACAAATTGCGAAGATATTATATCAAAGTTTTAGCATAGGCATTCTACTTGAATATTTAATCCCTTCATCAAAATTGGAAGTGATTTTTGAAGCTCATCTACTGAAATATCTTTTTTTATATCAAATTGTGTTTACATAACAGAAATTGGATATCAGTTTATAAACAGAATGAAAATAAAATATGTGTGACCAAATTTTGAATATCTCTGGTCAGAATATGTCTGTATTATGTTGATATGAATAAGAAGATCTATGGAATATAATTAAACTTTTAGCAGTCAATTTAATTTCCATTTGTTGTGTAGGCTTTTATACCTCCAGCTGTCTAGATAAATGGAGTTTGGCAACTCCAACAACAGACTTCAGATCTATTGAGCTGATTAAAGGTAGATGTGATGGTGTGTCTACTTCCACTTCGATTCTGGCATACATTTCAGTGGGTGGGTACTGTGACATTGCTGAAATATATTGAACATGTTCTTTATAAAATGTAATGGAATATGCGTCTTACAAAAAACTGAATAATAATTTTAAAAAATCTTGAATAATCATACAAGAATATGTACCCATAGGACACCATGCCAAGCTTACATTTTCAAATTTTCATGTATAGTGAACTACAAAATCTTGGTCAAAACCCTGATGTTATATATCTTAAAAAGTTCACACCATAATGAAGTTGAGACCTAAGTTTCAGATTAATGTGACCACAACTTCATGGAATACTACCTTAACCTAAACCTAATAAATTTCTGTGTTAAGTGGGTCAAAACCCTAATTTGGCACAAATACTTAAATGATTGCATCATAATTAACATGTGTACTAAGTTGAGTTGGTGTGTCCACAACCTCATGGTAAACTTGGAACTACCATGAACCAAATTTTACCTTAAACAGGACAGACAAACACAATTCACATACCGGTGAACATAACCCACTTTCTACTTTTGTACTAAAATAATCAAATGAATATAACAAACAAAGTTTTAAGACAATTAATGTAAAAATGGAGATCAATTCTTAATTTAAAATTAAAGTAGGCTAAAAGCTTAGATTTTACAGACACTGGTATCAATATGCACATTGACAATAAAGGTTATACCTCTACTATACTGTTTTTCTGGTGGTCTGCAGTAGATTTTGATGTCATAAACCGTAGGATCTGAATCAACAGTCCTGCCTTCAACACTGAGGGGCATGACTGTCCGCCCAATTGCTGCTGACTGGGGCCGATTACTACGGGATATAACAGAAACATCAGCCATCTTTGTGTCGAAGGAAAATGCATGCCAGGATCCTTGGCTCTATGGAGAAGATAAATCTGTATTTAACTAATAATATTAAATAGTCAATCCTGGTTATAAAGAGTTCCTAAAGATTTTATGTATTATTAAAGAAATGTGTGGTCTGAATTAAATAACTTTTCAGATATTGTGTACTTTTTCAAATCATTTACTGTTAAGTGATATGTTTCTAATAACAAATGGGATCGTGAGGTTTTAATTTTTGGTTTACCTTGACACTGATTGTGATATTCCCTAAAGATCAAATTCTTAGCGATTTGATGCTAATTGCTTCATTAGCAAAAATAAACACTTTGTGAATATTTCTCATTTTACAGTAATTCTTTTTTTTGTTAATAGGGTTTTCAGTCTGTGAGATTCATATCTGTTAATTTTAGCAGTGACAAATTCAGGATGACATGGAGCTCTATCCTAGGTATTTGTGTTTGCATACATTAATAATTTTCAGACAGTAAGTATGGTTTTTTTCCTCCAGTAATGATCTCTAAAGACATTGGTTAGAAAACTCCAAAACTATCCAAAAGCTATATTTGTTTGACCTCAAATTATGTTAACTTGTAGGGATATTTAAAAGTTTCCAATCTAATTCTTATCTAATTTTTATGCATGGGTGACCATTAGATGTCAGCATCAATTTTATCAACAACAGGAATAAGTAGAAAATGCAGCTGATCCATAGTGGCGTATTGTTACGAAAGGATTCTCTAGAGGTCCACAAAATGTTTGTATGATAATTCATGACAAGATCCCAGAGCTTCACTTACCAACAATACAGAAAGTCTTAAAGGAATAGTGGCTCTCCCTCTGTTGATGATCTGTAGTGATAATTCATGACACGATCCCCAGGCCACCTCTCCAAAGTTCATACACTTGTTATTACTCTCAGTCCGTACCTACAAATAAACATCATTTGATGTGAATATGTCTCTTGGGGTTGGATGACTGCTCTACTTTAAATTTAAATTTAAAAAAAAAATATAGTAAATAAGTTTACAAATACATAATAAATGTTCAATAAATTGTAGTATATAATTCATTTACATTTTTTAATTGATTGTTCTCAGTTCATCCCATTGTTATCTTCTTCAGATTTGGTGACTCCTAAAAGTTACATTAAATTGATTTCTCTTCCCCTTCCTTAATTTATGTTTCTTTTTTGTCATCTAATCTGATATTTTTAAACAAAAAAGTAATAACTACTTTTAAGCCCTGACCCAAAACCAAAACAATCCTTAAATGAATACTAAATATAATGTTGTTTCTAAAAAGGTATATGTGCATGAATTATGCATATATTTTTTACATACTATTAACATAATTAATATATAAGTAACTGTTTTAATATTTAGAATTTATTAATAAGAGAAATTTTGGATAATAGAAAACGGTCACTATAATTATATACACCATAAGTATGAAGAACATTACCTATATCACCATATTTCTGTTTGTAATATTGTTCATGCAAGCTTAATCACTTTCTCAATCAGAATTTGTAGAAATTTTATGTTAATGTTAATCAGGGACAAATTTAACACTAAATAAAAACCACATCAATTTCTAAAAAGAAAAATGGTAAGGGTACTCATATAACTTACTATTTCATTGAATCGAACAAAAGATTAATTCTTGTGTAAAATTGATACTGACCTAAGTGCGTACTTTTTGATTTCTATATAAAATGTCATTTTATTTGAATTCAAAGATTTATTTCTGAGTAGAGGTGTTATTGATATCCGAGCAAGTGGTTTAAGTAACAGGAAGTAGAATCATTTTACTCAAAAACTTTGTGATCTCTGTGTTCAATATATCACAGGTGATAAAGAAAAACTCTGAAAAAAATTGTGAAATCATTTCTTAGATATAAGATGAACATATCTTTAAGGCTTTGGCATGATAAGTTATTTCTAACAAATAATTTGTTCTACTATATAACTTTCAGTCATTTAATATTAACTTTTTACCAGTTTAATTCAATACAATGCTCTTGTAAGATCAGGTGTTGAACTACCAAACCCTTTTATTTAGAAATAATAATTTTACAGTGGATTCATTTATTTTTGTGGGTACCAATTTTTCGTGGATTGAGGGAAAAAAAACGCTTTCATGGACTACTAAAGTCTGCATACAAGCCTATAGAAAATGTGCACATCATTGAACATTTAAATTATAGTTTCGCCTATACAGATGAAATTCATGAAAATTGGTATCCCACCTATACTTGTATAATGAATCCGCACTACCAGAATTAGGCTATTTCACTCTAAGTTATATTTAGTACTTCAGTAACTAGATCCAGAAAATTAACTTTATATGGCCTAGTGTGATTTTACAAGCACAAAAACACTTTAAAAACGTACAAATCAGTTCTAATTATAATTAACAAGTCAAGTATTTATTGTAATTTCAAAATATCCATAAGCCTTAAAGATATAGGGTAGAGAAAAAGTGATCAGTAAAACACTCTGTGATACACATATAATACAAAGCTATATTACAAAAATGTCATCTATAGTTCATAATTCAGGGAAAGTTCATTCTTACCTTATTAACAAAGAACTAAATAAATTGTAGACAAATTTTACTTTAATAGAATTTCAATCAATTTTTATCAATGTAAACAATCAATAATAATATGTCTACATAATTATATAACTTTTTCAATATCACACCTGGGGCCTCAGTGGCCGAGAGGTCTAAGTAGTTCAACTTCTGTATCACTAGCCTGTCAACAATGAAGTTATGAGTTTGAGCCCAGCATGTGGCAGGTACAATTGACTACAATCTCAATTGACTAAGATTGCCAGTTTTCCTGCCAAAAGTCTGCGGTTCTCCCCAGCACTCCAGTTTTCTTCAACAATAAAATCTGGCAGCCACAAAATAGCCAATAGTGCTAAAAGTGGCATTAAACACCAAAAGTCAATATCAACTTAACCCATCTGCTGGATTGATTATATTGGTTCAGGGCTGATTTGGTGTGAAACATTGACAAAGCCATATCATATATACTTTTATTCTTTAAATATATTTTTCTGTTGGGATTTGATAAAACCTGTGCAACAGTGACTGATATCAATATCATCACAGATGGCTTATACAGAACGATTACAATTGATTGCATTTCACATAAAATTTACTTGAATTTTCTACTAAGTAAATAATAAAGTGTATGGATACTTTCTGTGTTGGTGCTATATATTTCCCACAGACAAATGCTAATGAACCTGTGATGACACTAAAATTTACAGTTTTCCATCTAAAAATACTAGTAAAATTAGCCTGAAATTTCTACTTATAAAAAAACAGAAATTAAAAGTTCATACTATCATAGTTACTTCATCTATTCCACATGTTCAAATGTTTCATCTCACATCTTAGTCACATTTACACAAAAAAAAAAAAAAAAAAAATTAAAACACATTACCCATTGTCAAAGGTAGCTAATTATCAAGGTGTGTAATAATTCATTAAATTCAATGCAGTATTTTTGTTGCAAATGTAGAAAAATCTAGATATACTTTGTAAAAAAGACATCATTTTAAAATGCTTGCATTTCAAAAAAAACAACCTAGATCTATATTTTTCAATAATTCTGATCGATTAAAAATGACTTCATTTACATGATTTATCAAAATGCTGTTATTTGAATTTCAACAGCAAAAAATTCTCAAGGCAAATTTTAAATTGACCAACTGAAAATAAAACTATGCTTTATTTTTATTCAATTAAATTTTTGTCTTTTATCAAATATATGTATTCAGCATAGTTCTCATGAGGTACTCAAAATGATTGACTAATTGGTGCTTCCTTATTGTCCAGTGGCAAATTACTGAGGATTCTTTATTATTCGTGGGATACCAATTTCATGGAAATCATGAGCACAGGTGAACCACAAATTTAAATGTCCAATGAATTACAAATTTTCAATAACGTTGTATGCAGACTTTGACAAAACCATGAAATAAAATATCCACGAAAATGCAAGTTTTCCTCACTTCACGAAAATTTGAACCCACGAAAATAATTCAATCCGTAGTTACCAACAATAAAATTCCTATGTTCCAAAGTTAAACACAGTATTAACCCTCTACCAGTCAGTCGTATCATTACACACCTATTACTGTTAATTCAATAAATTTTGCCCGGTTTTATTATTGCGAAAATTGTGAAGGAATGCTTTTGGTAAATATAAAAAGACTTACATTTCAAATTCTTATAAAATTATTTGTATGCTGAATTTTATGAGATCACAATAATTAATCTAACAATTTTGTCCACATTTAAAGAATCGCAATATTAAAATGCACACAAAAATTTCTGAATATTTAAAGTAATGAAAAGATTCCTATGGAAGATGAAAATATATATGTAACTAACCTGTATCTGTGGATCTTCAGCAATGGCCTGCAATGTGACAACCGTTGGTATCTTCTGTATATGTACACTGTTGTCTTGTAGAAATAAACTGGACGTAACATTCAACGAGGCTACATATGCACCAGCTAGTTTGGGTATAAAAATGACCTACAATTTAAAAGTAAATAACATACAAATGATTAATTTATTTGTAAATGATTGATAAATATTTCTCTTCTTCTTAGCAAACCAATTTTTGATTAGTGTAAAAATATTTTATTAATAAAATTCAAGTTACAGAATATACACAATTTAGCATGAACATATTAATACAAATAAATAACTAATAGGATCCAGAAACAAGCTCTTAAACATTTTAGTACCATACATGTATAAGGAAGCACATTACAGTTTTTTTTTTTATCGAGAAGACGATATGGCCATGCAGGAACCAGAAAAGGACAATGTGGGATGAGAACTGTTTAAATTGGTTAAATCTTTTCAAAAAGGTTTTATCTTACTACCATGACTACTTTAATATATTCAAAATTATAAAAAAAAATTGTAGAAAAAGGATGATATTTTCCTGTATGGGCATTTATTTGTTTTTGTTTACTTTCATGTTTATTGATCATGCTGATGGGAAATCATGAGAAAATGAAGAACAAAAAAATAAAAGATACGTTGTAAATTGACAGCAAAAAAAAAAAAAAAAAAAAAACCAAAAGAACTTACTGTAACATTTTCTGTTGTATGTGGTTCTATAATAACCTTCCTTTTCATTTCAAATGGTAGGTAATTCATTATATTGACTTCCCGACCATCTATCGTCCATTCCTGTACCTGCAGGTAACATTCTAACCAGCTATTGGTTGGGTTGGTCAACTCTAATTTCCTCTCTATGGATATGCCTACACAGCATACATCATCAAAATGTAACATTCTTGATGCAGTAACAGCCGACAATCTTGGTGGAGTTCTAAGTTGGTGGCCGTCTGATCTTGGTGATGTTCTTGTATGGGAACATTCTGTACAAAAGATAGCATTACCAAATATATCCTGAATATGGATTACAAGCTTTAACCTGAAAAACCTTTCAGATGTCTTTTTTTAATTTTTACAAATAAATTCACAAGCTAACAATTTAAATTTAAAACAGGGGATATACTCAATACAAAACATTCATGAACTTGTTAGACAGAAATGTTTGGTCATCCTGAAACTCTCTATATTCTTCCAATAATGTAACTGACATCTGTGGAACCATAAAAGTGTGTGTATATAAGATCAAGGCATTTAACATCCACATGGCAAGAAGAATATACAAAATCTTATATTGGTGTTTTTCTCTTAAGTTTAAATTATCTTCCATGTTTTTCCTGTGTGAACTTTCTTCTGACTTCCAATTTCCAATTCATTTTTGGTGCTGTTAGTGTGGAAACAAAGACTGTTATTATGCACAAACAGAATAAACAAACAACAGAACCAGCACTTTGACCAGTGGAAATCTTTTGTCTTTTTTTGTTTTCAATTGTTTGCTTGTTCTCTCATTGACTAATACCCACCATCTCCTTTCATACAAACAGATAAACTTACCATCTTCCATTACTGTAAGATTTTCTGCCTGCAGTTCATGCATCATACCAGTTGACATCATCGTGTGCATGCTACTTGGGGTGATAATAGTTGTGTCATTCCTGTTGTTATATGGCGTACTCTGATATACTGGCAAACGACTTGATATATTCATATTATCTGCCATGAAATCATAATGTGTTGGCAATGGAATATCTGAATCCCTGTGTGGCAACATATCATGAGAGTCTATCGGATGTTCCACTGGTTTAGGATGAACGTTACGATTAAGAAGTCTTCCTGGATTTTCACGGAACAAATATTCCTTTGCAAAATCTCTGGATAACATGGAATCAGAGGTTAGTAATGTTGGTTGATCTTGTGGTGGTTGTCTTGGTAAGAGATCATGTCGGAAGCTTGGTATTTGTGGTGGTGGCATTAAACATTTGTCATCTAGTGCCCTCTGACATGTATGTTCTACAGGCATTGTAGAGTGTTCATGACTAGATGATGTTGACGTTAATGCTCTATTTTGAGCAACAAGATCTCCAGTGTTTTGTGAATAAGTTTGACCACTGGTGGTCTGTGTAGTATAGAAGGATTTGACATCACTACTGGTTTTTGGCTGAGCATACAAAGTTTCGGGGAAAGTATGTGAAAATTGTTGATCTCCTGCCTGAGAGTTATGATAAATGAGTTCTAACAAGTGAGAATTGGGAGAAGTTTTACCTAGTGCATCTAAAGATTTGAATTCACTAAGGAGATCATACTTTTTTACCGGAGTTGATGTTAAATTTCCATTATGTCTATTAAGAGGAAGACTCTCTGCAGAATGGCTGTGTTTATGTTTATTTCCTTGGGTTTTTAACATGGCATGATGTTTCTTTGGATCAAAATCAGAATGTCTTTTCTGAATAGGTATTTGCTGAGGCACTGAATGTTTATCTGAAATAGCATCAAATCCCCTCGAATCCACTAACTGTATATCTTCTGTCCCTACAAGCTCCTGACGTGACATCACATGATGGAGTTCTGACGATTTACTGTACTCTGTACCATCAGGAATATGATGACCTGCCCAACCAGATGTGTTTCCCCTCGGACTCCTCCCATCTTTTACTATATCATTATTACCAGATGTAACATTCATACTATTTCTTGCAGACAAAGATGCTGATGTACCCAAACTAAAGGATGCTCCTTCAGTCTGACGAGCACTTGTCACTTGGGGTACTTCATTATCCCTTTGCGGGTTAATAAATCTATCTGACGATTGATTCAATCTATCAGATCTGACAGGAGATTTTGTCCTAGAAATGCTAAGTCTTGGAGAATATCCATCTACAACAAAATTTTCTGACGAAAGTTTAGGTGGTGTTATTACACAATGTCTTGGTTTGTTATTCTCTTCCTTATCTGATTCTTCCCCGTCAGGATTTGTTTTATTCTCATAGGAAAATGTATTTAATGTTTTCTCCTGTGAAACACTCACAGATTTATCATTACTTCTTCTAATATCTTTGGTCTTTTCACCATCAACAGAATTCTGCAGTTCAGGGATTTCAGATAAACTCATATCTTCAGAGGACAATTTTTTGTCCCGCAATTTCAAACTGGTTCCCTTTCTGACTGGTAACTTTGATGTTTTATGGGTACTCTGTTTCTGTGACCATGCCATGACCATATTGGCTATCTCTTTAGGATCTTTAGACATGGACACGGACGACATGAATCTAGATATATCACTCATGTGTAGTGTTCCATCACTCATATGAAGTGTACCTACAAAAAATTCTCAACAGAATGACTGTAAGTACATTAAATCAATAAATATTGAAACCTGGATATGAAAATGAAAAAGACATTCTGTTTATTTAGAACAAATGATGGAATAAAAATTGTACAAATTTGACATTCAACTTGTTATTTCAGTACAGCATTTAGTTATATTGAGAATATATACAAAAACATATAAACTAGTTTTGCATCATTGATGTTGATTACATAAAACAAGAAATCCCTACCATCATCTTCAATGCTGGATGTCTGATCTTGTTCAGTCACAGTTGTTTCAATCAATGGGTAAGGTTTTCTATCACTGGGTGGGGTTTTAATTATCATCCCAAAATCAGGCTGAAAGTGTAAAATAACATAAATTGAAAATCCTTTTCCTTACAATTGGAACAAATATCTATGGGTATTGTCCTCAAATTGAAATTTTCATCATCTAACAGGAGCTGTGCAGAATGCTACTAATGCTTTGATAATGGTTTAAAAATAACTTATGGTGTGATACCATCATTGTTTTCCCCTATTAACCTTTGTTAAATTTGCACTTTTCAAAAATTTTTGCAGCATTTATCTTTGTTTCAAATAAAGAAATACTTGGCATAAGTAAAGTTTTATCCTGTGCAGTACTACAGACAAAATTTTACATAACATTTCATTGCACTGGAAATTAAACAATCAAATTTTCACCTCTTTTTTCCTGTGTACAAGCTTTAATAAGTAGCCATGTAACCTCAAGTTTCCAAAATAATCTATAGAAACACCAAATAAAAAAAAACAAGAACGTGTCCATAGTACACGGATGCCCCACTCGCACTATCATTTTCTATGTTCAGTGGACCATGAAATTGGGGTCAAAACTCTAATTTTGGCATTAAAACTAGAAAGATCATATCATAGGGAACATGTGTACTAAGTTTCAAGTCAAGACGTACGTACGAACGAACAGACGGACGAACGAAAGAACGCACAGACCAATAAAAACATAATGCCCATAAATGGGGCATAAAAATGGTGCTTTGAAATACTAAAGATATATGTTTATGACTCAGAAAGTTTTTACTGCAATAAAATGTTGGATTAACTTCCTACAACTGTCAAATTCAAGGGAATATTTTTTTCGACCCTTTTTCATATGCAACCGGATGTGATGTACTATGATTTGGTGGTATAACACCTTATCTCATTGGCTGATAAATGTCAGAATCAATACTTTCTACAACTTATCAAGTTGTGGCAAATTAAACAAGATGAAGTTGTCAGACAGATCACAAAAGTGGCAAATCAAACAAGATGAAGTTGACAGATCACAAAAGTGGCAAATCAAACAAGATGAAGTTGTCAGATCACAAAAGTGGCAAATCAAACAAGATGAAATTGTCAGACAGATCACAAATGTGCTAACACAAAACAAGCCATCACTATCAAGACTAGGTACCATGTCATTCTGTTCAGTAGTACTGGCTAAATGTGTGACAATCACTATCAAGACTAGGTACCATGTCATTCTGCTCAGTAGTACTGGCTAAATGTGTGACAATCACTATCAAGACTAGGTACCATGTCATTCTGTTCAGTAGTACTGGCTAAATCACTATCAAGACTAGGTACCATGTCATTCTGTTCAGTAGTACTGGCTAAATGTGTGACAATCACTATCAAGACTAGGTACCATGTCATTCTGTTCAGTAGTACTGGCTAAATGTGTGACAAAATTATTAACTTCATTTAACATCTTTAACATTTATAATGACAGACGGTCGACTCATGAGAATTGTTCATATTACAAAATCCATTATCTTCATAATTTATGATGTGACAGAAATACAACATTTTAGTCCTATCTTACCCTTGGACCATCTCCATCAAGTGACCCCAGTTGACCTGAACGACTCTTCATAAACTGACCAACAGATATCCTACACAAGTCATCATCACCACCATCTGCTATCTTACTCTTGTATGACCAGGAGTCACATTCGGGGAAAACATCACTGTCCATCTTTTCATCCTATATCATATATAAAAGGTTTTTTAAATTGTGTGTATAAAACACCTCATTATGTTGACAATTTTAGAAATGTTTAATCCTTTTTTAATATATAATTTCTTAAATTCAGTTTAAAATGATAAATACAGCATATCATCATATTCATACTTTTGGAGATTTTACGTAAACAAAATTTCACACAAAAAGAAAATAAACTGTTGAAACAAATGTCTGGCCTGTATGAAATTTTGATGGTATAATGGAAATGTTGAAATGAAAATGGTTATACTTTAAAACATGCAGACAAAGAAAACTTTCCAAAGTCATTAAACCATGACTGAAGGTGCAGGGCCAAATAATCTTGTTGAAAATGAGAAATGCCTATACTAATACAACTGTATACCAAAAACAATTAACTTATCATAAGTGATTCCCATTAGACTGACATAAACGCAAACTATGCAAAAATGTCAAAGTCCCAAATACAAATAATTTCCATGGAAATTAGATGTGCAAATGCTAATACAACTGCATACCAAATGTCATTGACTTAGTATTAAACCGACCTAATCACAAACTAATACATTGTTGATACCTATGAAAGTTTTGCTTTCATGAGCTCGTTGAGCAAAGACAAAAATTAAGGGCTTTTTCTGGTTTCGTAAAAATTTGAAATATTTTGAGACCTCTACCATATAAACATACAATACAGTGCACACAATAAAATCAACCAAGTATATATCATCCTTTGCTTGGAAAAGTTGGAGCAATGATAAAGTCATGTGTTGCTTACAAATAATACATGCAAATATAATGAATACAAGCATGACAAGTGGTGATTGTTTCAATTACATTAGAAGGAAAAAGAATATATTTATGAAAAATAAACATTAATTTTTTGTTGCTAAGTTTAAAATTTTTCAAAACAACAACTTGTATTCCTGAAATTATATCCTTTGTTTCAAAAAGGATAATATACCCCAAAAAATTTAGTGGAAAAAAAGAAGAATCATGTTTGAAACAATTTTGTCTGTTACCAAAAAAAAATGGTTACAACTTGATGAAATTTTAAGGTACAGCATATTTTCTTACTGCTGTTGTTTGGTCATATAAATTGTATAACTAAGAACGTCTTTTCCATAGATCCTGAGAGATAGGGTAACAGAAAAATATGTGAAACAATGCCCTAATATGGCATATAGATTAAACACTTCTCTTCATAATAAACTTGTGAATTGAGTTTCATGTTGATATGACCACAAACTACATTAAACCACATACAGAACAGACAGATTGGAAAACTTAATGCTCAATAGTTTCAAAGGTGGGCATAATACCATATTTAGTTCATGGATCTGTTTTCTTTGAAAATATCAAATTTAGTTGAATAATTTAAAATTAAATCATACCTCTCTGAAAATATTTTCTTTTTCAAATTCTTTTTCATCCGTGTCTAAAAAGTCTTTTGCCCTATCTGAAATAAATAGTACAGTAAGTTCTTTGTGATAAATTTCCTATGAATTTTTTTTCTTTCTTCATGAAATCATTATTATTATTCAATTTATTCTTAGTCCAATTTACACTATTGTGCTGCATTCTTTTGACTCTAATGACACTTAATTTATAGCATTAATTTTAAGGAACATTATTATTCGGTCAACTGTCAAATAGATAAGTGAACAGGTCATTCTTTGAAATTGTGTCACAAGATGATTGTCTTTCAAATGCATGAATGATCAGATCATGTTTATTTAAAAAAAACAGAAACCCATTATTGTCTCAACCATGAAAATGAGGTCAAGGTCAGATGAATCCTGCCAGACAGAAAAGAACACATTACAATCTTTCCATACATGTAATAAAAATATGGCAAAGAATTGTAGGTGTGAAATACATCTGCTTAGATGAACTCCTGTCCACACTTGTCCAAATACTAACAGTTGGTTCCATAGATATTTCTCCAGGTGGAGTCATACAAGACCAGACTGAAGGATAGATATTTCTCCAGGTGGAGTCGTACAAGACCAGACTGAAGGATACCAAGTATTTCTATGTCCCCAGCGCCACATTTCTGCGGGGGGAAATTACAGCACCTTTTAATTCAATCAAATTAATTTTTATCCATATTATTTTCATTCAGAAAAACTGACCTGCTGACATAAAATCTTCATGAACAGTAAAATTAACACCAAGGTTTCCCTGTGCTACCATTTCATCTACTAGAGCTTTCTGTTCAGCTGCTTCAGTAGACAGAGAACTGACATAAGCCAAATCTGCTCCAGTTTTCTCTGAAAAAATTAAAACAATTAGATTAGGCAAAGTTTATCTTAGATGAATTTGGCAATTATAGTTACTGTGAATTCAGAAATTATTGCAAGGTTTTTATTAATGCAAATAATGAGACTTGGTGATCACCCCAATAATAAGTACTCTTATTTGAATATACAAAATGCAGATTTTCCTAAAATCACAATAAATAATCTCACATTTTAGTCCATTCTTTAAGAATCACAATAATAAATGCATGCAATAAAAATTTTAATTTATGTATTTACAGTAGGTTGTTGCTTTTGGTCATTTCTTAAATTTTTTACATATTTATAAATCCATGGTGTGTTTAGGTTTGAACATTTCTGGTCAAGGTAAATCCAGAAAAGTGCTTTTGAATAACCATATATAATTCAAGATGTATAACTCTTTAATGATTGACATATAATTTAGTCATGCATGAGTAGGCATGGTGGCAAGCAATTATTTCAAGTTTGGTTTAACTCAGCAGTAAACTGTTTAAAGCTTGGCAGTTCTCATAATATACAATATGGGCATCAGTAATTAGTTACAAAGAACCATAACTGTGTAAAAAATAACTGATCTGCGAGAAACTGTTTCTCAGAAATTTACTTGTCTAAGACAGATTTTATGTTTGTGCCACAAAAAATAAATTAAATTTTTTACCTGCTTGTTTAGCCTCCTGTAATGATTTCTGACTATTTCTCAAGGACTGTCTTGTCTGAGGGGAAGCTGTAGAGAACTTTGGTTGGTCAAATTTAGGAGGACTACTACTGCTACGATACAATTTACTGTCTACACTTGTCCGAGGACTAACAGGTGGTTCCAGAGTCATTTCTCCAGGTGGTGTCATATCATGACTCTGTCTAGGAGGAGGACTGGCTCCAAATGATCCAAAAGAGTTATTCACTTCTCCAAAAGGGTTATCATCCAGCTGAGTCTGTCAAACATACAAATAACAATCATCAAATTTATATTGATACTTTTAATAACTTTTGGTAATAGACGTACAGCAGGCCAATTTTCTTCAAAAGTAATTAATTACATGCCAATAATAACGCAAAAAGCTTCAATTAAATAACAATTACATTTACAATATGTTAGAAATGTAACTTATTACATTATAATCACTTCAGAAAAGTAATCAATTTCATTAAATAAAATTGAGAATGGAAATGGGGAATGTGTCAAAGAGACTACAACCCGACCATAGAACAGACAACAGCAGAAGGTCACCAACAGGTCTTCAATGCAGCGAGAAATTCCCGCACCCGGAGGCGTCCTTCAGCTGGCCCCTAAACTACATTTCAAATTTTAAATGAAAATTACAAACAAAGATGAAATAGGATACCTTGATGCGCACTAATCAGAAGTTTGGTTGACAAATGCTTTATGCTTTGTAATGTAGGTGACGTTTAAAAGAAGATAAGAATTAACAGGCATCATAAAGAAACAAATTTTTTATATTTTTTTTTTAAGGGAAAAAAACCATGGTCATCTTTTTTATTAAGTTGGACAAAAATAAGCAAAAGACATTTTTATACTAAAAGTATCACATACAGAAAACACATCTTCAGCATTAAAACCTGAGGCTTCCAGTCTATTGCCAGGGTCTGTCTGATAATCTGCTGTGTTATCTACACTCCATCTTAATTGGGAGGTACTCTCACTAGCATTAAACATTGGGGTCGGTGCTAAGTACCTGGACTGTAATAGTGACTCTTCCTCCATGGTGTGTGCCTGTTACATACAGATAATTGTTTGATGTGTGCCTGTTACATACAGATAATTGTTTGATGTGTGCCTGTTACATACAGATAATTGTTTGATGTGTACCTGTTACATACAGATAATTGTTTGATGTGTGCCTGTTACATACAGATAATTGTTTGATGTGTGCCTGTTACATACAGATAATTGTTTGATGTGTACCTGTTACATACAGATAATTGTTTGATGTGTGCCTGTTACATACAGATAATTGTTTGATGTGTACCTGTTACATACAGATAATTGTTTGATGTGTGCCTGTTACATACAGATAATTGTTTGGTGTGTGCCTGTTACATACAGATAATTGTTTGGTGTGTGCCTGTTACATACAGATAATTGTTTGATGTGTGCCTGTTACATACAGATAATTGTTTGAATATTCTATTTTGTTATGGGCTGTTCCATAAAAACACATGGGCCCTAGAAAAGGCAATTCAAAATCTCAGCTATGAGTGGGTGATTTTGTTCAGTATAAGTGTAAGAGAAATTATAAAATTACCTTTAGAGATGGTTTTCAAAGTGCCTTCCTTGGGTACCATGCATGTTTTAATGGAACAGCCCTTACACAATACATACTATATTTATCTTTAGAAAATGCCTGAGGGTGTTGCACATTTTAAAGACAGAGTTAATTGATCCTTACTTTCTATAATAGTTAAGTCTTAAACCTGTGATTAATTTTGAATGTAGGACAGAAAGTCACAGGACAAAAAGTCACAGACAAAAAGTCACTGACAAAAAAAACCAGGACAAAAAGTCACAATTCAGTTTTGAGATTATTTTTCTTTAAACAAGAAAACACTAATTTTAAAAATTAAATTTTTGTTTTTTCTTGAACTATTATATATGAAGCAACTTTGTAATTAAAATCTATTCAATAAATATCAATAATGATGAAATAATTGTTATGAAAACAAAATGTCAAAGTGGCTTGGTACTTAAATGGTTTCATTGTGCCAAGAAATATATCCTTTGCATGATTAAAATTTAATAAATTTTCATTTATCAAGGCTCATGAACAATTTCCTAAACTTAAAAATGAATATATGTAATAAAAAGAAAATATTTCAAGATCTTTCTCTTATATATTCAAACAATTGTCAACACATTATTTGTGACTTTTTGTCCTATCAAATTTGTGACTTTATGTCCGTTTACCTTAATTTTTAGGCATACTTAAATCTTAAATTTGTACAATTCAGCAGGGAAATTATTTTAAAGTCTTAAAAAAAGAAAAGCAGATAATAATTTTTAGGATATATCCAAATATTTGACATAAAAAGTATGAACTTATGTTTATTCCTGAAGATAACTGACAAGGGCCAATGTAAAATTTTTGATTGTTTATTTGCTTTGAGTGAGGTCAAATGCATTTCAAATTTATCTTTTATAATAAAATATTTCTTCATAAGCACTGAATCATTTTCTGTCAAAGGACAAGACAGTTTTTATATATTATATATGAATACCTGATAATTAGAATATCTGTCCATGCCCTTTTCTGTCAAAAGATCGTCTCCCATTGGTTTCACTCTTTGTTCCTGTAAAAAATCAATTTATATAAAATATTGTTATTACCATAAAAATACTTAAGACACTTCATTTTCCTAATTGAATCATCAGATTCTCCAAGAAAACCAGAACAATCATCTAACACCAATTTTAATTGAGAGAATACTGTTTAGGCATACCACTTTTGCCTAGACATCTAGCTACATGTAGCATTAACTGTACTTTATTTACAAGATTTCTTAGCCAAATCTACTACTCCTTGCAGATGAGCTATAATCAGCGATCATATTATTCATTCCATATAAACTCATATTTCAAATAATCAATTTGAAGTCAATCCTAGTCAGAATTCCAATATACACATTATATTGTTATCAGGGTGTCAAAAACTGTCACATTTTTAATGCATAATTGCAACAAAGGAAACTTCTTGTAGGCTCAATTTTTCCATTTGAAACCCTAATTGATATATATATCTATCAATTTAGAAAAGGAAACTGAAATATCAGGTTATTAATATTGAAACAGAAATAAGAGATGAAAAACATGTGCCAAACACCAATTAAAGATGAAATATAAAGCTTGCATGAAGAGAGCTATAGTGAAATTAATTTGTATTGTAAATAGGTCCTTTACCTTCTATAGTAACTAACACATTACTGAATACTGATACAAGATGCATGTACTCTAGATCTTATTAAAATAATTTCTGCTGATCATAACACTGATAACAGGACTGATTTAATGTTGATCGGAAAATATTTTCCTAACGTTCAAAGCAACTTAAAATCAATAACAAATTTCTGTTTGTTTATACTGAATACAAAATTTTAGGATTTTGACATTTGCAAAACATAAAATATAAAATGGGTTGATGAATTGTTTCTAATAACTTTAAATTTATAATACTGTAATGGCTAATAGGCAACTACATACATGTATCCAATTCAGTGATATGGAAATCACTTTACCTTGCATTGTAAATTTATTTACATCATCATAATTAACAATATATTGTACAACATAATATAAGAGAGAAAAACTGTAGTATATCCTACACCCATTAATAACAGTTAATTATCTAGCCTTCAGATAGAATAATATCTAATCCTAGTGCAGTCACACATAATTTACTTACTGATACTACAAATTGCTGATCAAAATAAATGTAAGGATCATTAACATAAATCAAAGTCAGATAATGATCCTAAATAAAACCTTTACTCAAGACAATTTGAATTCTATATTTAACATGTTGATTCATTGTCAAGTTTTACACAGAAGATTAATCTACAGCACATTCAAATAAATAATATTTTTAATATTTGTCAAGCTTGACTCGACACCAAAAACAGAAAATGAAATAGTTTCAAATTCTAAAGAACAATCAAACCCAATTGTAAATAAAAAATCTATGAAGCTACCTCAATATCCAGACTTCCTGATGGTGGTGGCATCACAGGTTTGAAGTTTGATCGGAAAGTATCAAGAAAATTTTTGGCATCTGTTGATCGTCTAGTGTCTTCACTGTAAATTAATAGATGTTAGTCATAATAAGCTAACAAGATAGAAATATATATGGTGACTGTGAGCTATTTTGGCTATCTATAGATACCTGTTCTGCTGGTACTAAAGAAACTACAGTCAGAGGTCAAAAGTGTTTCACACTTTGAAAATTATGCTATATATTTCATATAAAAACACACTGAAAAAAAAAATGGTCAAAAACTTATTTCAGCTTCAATTTCAAAGAAATTTTCACTGTTTGCAATTTTTTTATGGTTATTATGAAATGTTTTGATGATGTGTTTGAATTCTTTTCAGACCACTTTTGTTTGTAGTCAATAAAAACAGGTAAGACAACCACTTATTACGGTTTTCATTGCTAAGGGAGATAACTCACTTGTCTGATCCACTGCTGCCATCACCACCTCCACCACCATCACCAGGTACAGGGGAGGTAACTACATCACCTTCAGCTGATTGTCTCATGGCTATTGACATCTGTGTCCCAGATGATTCCTGCTGACTGGTTCCTTCCACACCTTATTTAAAGATAATAAAAATTAACTTTGTCTGCAACAGATCCATATATTTTGTAATTCTAAACAAGAATGTGTCCATAGTACATGGATGCCCCACTCACACTATCATTTTCTATGTTCAGTGGACCGTAAAATTGGGGTCAAAACTGTAATTTGGCATTAAAATTAGAAAGATCATATCATAGGGGACATGTGTACTAAGTTTCAAGTTGATTGGACTTCAGCTTCATCAAAAACTACCTTGATCAAAAACTTGAACCTGAAGCTGACACTTATTTTCTATGTTCAGTGGACCGTGAAATTGGGGTCAAAACTCTTAATTTGGCATTAAAATTAGAAAGATCATATCATAGGGAACATGTGTTCTAAGTTTCAAGTTGATTGGACTTCAGCTTCATCAAAAACTACCTTGACCAAAAACTTTTACCTGAAGTGGGACAGACTGACGAACAGACGGATTGACGAATGAAAGGACGCACAGACCAAAAAACATAATGCCCCTAGGTGGGGCATAAAAATATTACTTTGAACCTCTGAAATCTTGTAGTTACTAAAGATAAATACTGAGGACTGATAGAAAATATATCAATCATGCATTTCTTCTGTCTGTATAGCAATGTATGTAAACAAACCTGGCCTGGGTATAGAGGCACGGTTATCTGAACACTGACCAGCTCCTACTTCTCTTTCTAAACCCATAGACTGAAAATAAACATTCTGTCATTTAATATGTTGTTCAATAAGAATCAATTTATTTTGAAATTAAAATAGACCAAATTTAAATGTGTGGCTACATAATGTTTTATGTATTTACATATTACCAAGTGCAAAAGTATTTCCACAAAAGCCTTGGATATGCTTACCCTTCAAGAGAACATAATACTTACCAATAACTGATTTCTTCCTTAAATGACAAGGCCACACTTAAAAATATTTTGGTTTGCCCAAACCAGCCCCAAAGGTAGAGACAGTGGGTAGTTAGGTAGGCATTTTCTTTTTTTTGGGGCAAAGAGAAATTGAAGTGTCAGATGTCTTCATGCCTATCTGATTAAAAAATAACTTTTTCACATCAGGACATTTTGAGTAGGTAGCTATTTCCTGGGTAGGTAGGGTTAGGGCAAACAAACCTGTTCTTTTTTATGGCCGAAATGTTTTGGTTGGTCAGCTGAATCATTGCATTTTGTCTGACAAATGTCTGACAGTCCTTTGATCAATTTCATAATGTCTGGTGGAGTGATGTAAATGTATAATGTGCTATTTTTCTAAAGTAAAACTGAACAATGTTTTACCCATCTTAAGTCCAGTAAATGACAATGTTGGAGTCTAGTAAATTGACAATGTTTTAGTGTACCTGTCTGGAGTCAAGTAAATTGACAATGTTTTAGTGTACCTGTCTAAAGTCAGGTAAATTGACAATGTATTATCTGTCTGAAGTCAAGTAAAAGGAAAATGTTTTACCTGTGTGAAGTCAAGTAAATTGGCAATGTTTTGCCTGTCTGAGGTCAGGTAAATTGACAATGTTTTACCTGTCTGAAGTCAAGTAAATTGACAATGTTTTACCTGTCTGAAGTCAAGTAAATTGACAATGTTTTACCTGTCTGAAGTCAAGTAAATTGACAATGTTTTACCCATCTGAATTCAAGTAAATTGACAATGTTTTACCTGTCTAGCCATTTCCAGTTCATCCTCTGTATCTATCTCACTACTTTGTCCAGTCTGTTTTCCCTCCACATCCCTTAAATCATCATTACTGCCTATATCTACAAAACAAATAATCAAATAAATGTTATGCATTTTCTTCTTTACTACTTTTTCTGTTATGCATTTTCTTCTTATTTACTTTTTCTGTTATGCGTTTTCTCCTTTACTACTTTTTCTGTTATACGCTTTATGTTGGTCACTATCGCTGGTCAAGAAAACAAACATGACATGCTTGTAAAGTCTGTATAATTGTCATTAAAGTATGTGGATGAGTTGAAAGTTACTGTGTCTCTAAGAGTCAATGTCCATAGTCATGTTAACACTGTCATGATACCAAATGCCCACTTGTGTTAATTTGTACAACTGAACTCAAGTTTAGAATCTCATGATGCCTACCAGGAGATGATAACTACCAAAGTTGACAGTATATTCTCCCTTCCTTCATCACTCTCTGTTTTTATACATATACATTTACCTGTATACCTTTGGTATGTGCCATCATAAAACATGACATTATTCTTAATAAAAACACATCATATACTCTTTTTTTAACATTTATGGAATAGTACTAGAATTTATGATATAATTGAACTAGAGGCTCTCAAGAGCCTGTGTCGCTCACCTGTATTTACTGATGCTTTTGAAATCATGTAAAATAAGGTTAAAATCATAATTAATAGTATTAGATATTAGATATTATAATGATATCTAAGATAATAACAAAAAACAGCAAAAATTTTGTAAAATTACTAACTTAGGGGCAGCAACCCAACAACGGGTTGTCGGATTCGTCTGAAAATTTCAGGGCAGATAAATCTAAATCTGATGAACATTTTTGCCACCTGTCAGATTTGCTCTAAATGCTTTAGTTTCAGAGATATAAACCAAAAACTGCATTTTACCCCTATGTTCTATTTTTAACAAAGTCGGCCATGATGGTTGGAAGGCGGGGTCATCGGACAAATTTTTTAAACTAGATACCCTAATAATGATTATGGCCAAGTATGGTTAAATTTGTCTCAGTAGTTTCAGAGAAGAAGATTTTTGTAAAAGATTACAAAAATTTACAAAAAATTGTTAAAAATTGACTATTAAGGGCATTAACTCCTAAAGGGGTCGACTGACAATTTTGGTCATGACAACTTATTTGTAGATCTTACTTTGCTGAACATTATTGCTGTTTACAGTTTATCTCCATCTATAATAATATTCAAGATAATAACCAAAAACTGAAAAATTTCCTTAAAATTACCAATTCAGGGGCAGCAACCCAACAACAGGTTGTCAGATTTGTCTGAAAATTTCAGGGCAAATATTGACCTGATAATCAGTTTTACCTTTGTCAGATTTACTCTAAATGCTTTGGTTTCAAAGATATAAGCCAAAATCTACATTTTACCCCTATGTTCTATGTTTAGCCATGGCCGCCATCTTGGTTGGTTGGCGGGGTCATCGGACATATTTTTTAAACAAGATACCCTAATGATGATTGTGGCCAAGTTTGGTTAAATTTGGCCCAGTGGTTTCAGAGGAGAAGATTTTTGTAAAAGTTAACGGACGACGACGATGGACGACGGACGCCAAAGTGATGAGAAAAGCTCACTTGGCCCTTTGGGCCAGGTGAGCTAAAAAAGGGAAACAAGCATTTACAGGACAATAACTATTTGATCTATTTCTCAATAACTAGTGTTAGGTATTACAAAGCATCATAGATCATAAGCCCGATGACGAATAACAAATCTGTGAGCCACTAAAGTGCTCTCTAACCTCAGATGACTTGAACACCTTCAATCCAGTAGGAATGCTCAGAAAACTGCTATTTTTTTAGTCTAATTATATTTGTTATAAATGATATCCAGTTCTCTAACAAGACCAATACCAGGTCTGGACCTGCATCACTGCATGCAATTGATTAAGGTTGCATGTATACTTAAGAATAACTGATCATTCACTTCCATCGCAGCCAAAAAAATTTTGATGTAAATTTTCCTTGTATTATGAGCGTTGTAAAATTTCAAACTATCAGCAAACAGGAAAAGGCTGCACAGCAGATATAAAAATTGCTTACATATTAATCATTATCAAGCTGCAGACCCAAAAAAATAGCCCCTTTTATAGAAGCCTTTGGAATGGACGAACAGATGGAGTCAAGCAGTTACTAGACCAGCTTTCACGGTTGGCAATGCAGGTAAAATGGACTAGATATTGCATCATTAATTTCACACACTGCAATCAATATATATATAAACAGACTCATATGATGAATAAACAAGAATGCTCTTGTTGTTGTGGTAAGCATGCACCACTCGTAATTCAAAGTATGGAACAGCAGGAAGTAGATGTCTGACAGATCCGAAAAAATGCTCATATGTTACTAATCATCACTTTCAAGCTGCTGATTAAATATGAAGTCATTCTGTTCAGTAGTTTTTAAGAAAAGTGTTACCACATTTTTTAAGTACATTCACCTAGTTCTTAAGAAAAGTGTTACCACAATTTTTAAGTACATTCACCATATTGAAAAATTCAAAGAATCAGTTCTAACAAGAAGTAGGTGTCAGACAGTTCTGAAAAGCGTTTATACTTTACAACTCAATCACTTTCAAGCTGCTAATTAAATATAAAGTAATGCTGTTCAGAAGTACCTGGGATATAAAGTGTGACAGCAAAATTTGTTAAGACAAATGGACGGACAAGGTGTAGCACTATAGCCCTCATTTTTAAGGTGGATTGTAATAAAATATTAATTTTACATTGTGCTTTATTATACATATCATAAACGTATAAATCATAGTTAATAAGCAAATTAAGCAGTATATTTCATTACATCAATGTACAGCACATAAAAACTGGTTTCCAATGAAAATCTACACTAATTCATTCAATGCATTAAATGGTTGGTTAACTTCAAAAACATCCAAAATTCTACTTTTAATGTTAGAAAAGAAATATTTCATCTACTATTCAACCTGAAACTTACCTTTCACAGGCAAATGGCGTCCTTTAAATAGGTGAAGAATGGCTTTTCATTGTATAAGTTATGTAGTAATTATAGGAGGTATACTGGGATATATATGGGTCCATGAAAAATAAATGTATTGGGCTACGCTCCTGATGGGACAAATAATTTGTTTTACAGGGACTTCATGTATTCAGTGGTTCTTTTCATACATAAATCAGGAAAATGTTTGGAAATTCAAAAATTCAAGTGTCCTTAATCATTGAACCTTTTCTGTCTATTATTAGAAATTGATCAGGTTTCTTAATCATTTTTTGACATTGCCATATTATTAGGAGACTTCTTGTTCTGAATCGGACACCTAGCAAAAGTATGACAATTTGAAATTTACTTGTACCTTTTTCACAATCAAATTTTTATTTTTAAATCAAATTATTTATTTTCAAAAATCCAACCTTGTTAGTCCATTCAAGTTAAATTAAGGGGCAACGTTATATTTTCTTCGGTACAAGGATCACATTAGATATTTACATAAAAATTGGGATTTTTAACAAGCACCCAATCCCTCTCCTCCTTAATTCAAATAGCTCTTCACTAAGTAATCAACGAAATATTAAAGACCAATGAAATGATTTGTAGATCACAAAATGCTTCTTTACAAAATTTACTGCTAACACAATTTCTCTGTCCAATAATGTTTTCAAGAAAATTTTCTAAAACAACATACCATCAAAAAGAGTGACTTTACTAAGACTGGGAAATAACTTAGTATTCTGTGTTAGTTCCGCTCCATCTCCCCCGCTGGACATCATTTTAAGATATATAGAATCTAAAACAGCATTATCTTGTGTCACATCTGTAATAGTCAAATATATTAAGCACTATTACATGTACCTTGTGTTATATTTGTAACAGTAATGATAAATAAATCATTTAAAAGGATACAAAACATTTCAAAAACTATCTCTTGTAAGTCATTAATAGATTTTTCAAAACACTGTTAAGTTACTGCATTGAATGACACAGACAAAAAAATTCAAAATACACATCAACTGTTTTGGCTACTGGATATTTTTCAAATTAAATATAATTTAACAAAAACAAAGTCTGATTAAAAGTCTATAAAATGAGGATTTTAGCAATGAGATGAATACAACTTTTTTTTGATATACATGTTATAATCATTTTAAGCAGCTTTTTTTTTTATCAATAAATTTGTTTTTACTTTTGATCTAACAAAAATACAGCTGTATATCATCAAATGCATTCATTGTAAAGAAATATTGGAAAATCATTGATAAGAGAAATCAAATAAATTCACAGAAAAAACAGGTTCAACCATAATAATCATAACCATAGACACTGAAATGGTTCACCATCCTCACGGTTTATCACTATATAATATGATGAAAGATTTTGAGATCAAGGTCTCACTACCTATAATAAGAAAACTTAAAAATTGACAAATGAACCATGAATATCATTCTTATCAAAGTGACTAGCTCTCATTGTATGATGAACTACCTTTCTTATCATCAGACTCTACATCCTCTATACCAGTCTCATCAAAGTCACTGAAATCATCATCCAACTGCATCAGCTCCTCGTCAATGTTGACCTCTGGTATGGTCACATCCCCATCGTGCTGATTGCTGAACATTTCCTGAAACACCAGTGACTGTCTGACAGGTCCTTCAGGGACAGGTGCTGGTTTATCTGATGGCTTCTTCTTTACTGTATCTATATCATGTCTGAAAACAATAACTGGTATTAGAAATGATGTAGATGTACAATATCTAAAGAACTAGATGTGTGGGGTGTTGAATGCCTCACCTGCACAATAATGGATGGATTCCCTAACTCCATAGTTAGTTAGTTATCAGGAATAAAACCTAACCTTGATCTTCAATTTAACAACATATACTAATAAACATTTCTGGTGGGATTTTAGCATTTTGTGTGATGATTATTTTAAACATATTAAAGAAGATGTTCTATATTTATTTTATTTTTTATGCATGTATACACATATATAAATGTAATTTTTTTTTATTCTTAATCAGGTTCCATCACCTGGAATCTCTTTAAAATAACATATAATGTATCATTGTTATACATCAGATGCCTATTAATTAAATCCTTAAACTTGAAAGTAATTAAAGAACCTTTGTGAGCACGCTCACATACCCCACTCCCCCACATTGTCACTGGACAAACAAAATCTCACCAGATTCCTAAGTTCAAAGACTCATAACTCTAGGTGTAATACCACCATTGATTTTCCCCTTTTAGTCTTTGTTAAATTTGCACTTTTCAAAAAAATGTGCAGAATTTATCTTTGTTTCAAATAAAGAAATACTTGGCAGGAGTAAAGTTTTATCCTGTCCAGTACTATAGAAAAAATTTCACATAACATTTCATTGCATATAGGGGCCTCGGTGGCCGAGTGGTCTAAGTAGTTACTACTGTAATCACTAGCCAGTCAACACTGAGGTTGTGAGTTCGAACCCCGCTCGTGCGGGTGCACTCGACTCCAATCTTAATTGACTAGGATTGTCAGTTTTCCTATCGAAGGTCGGTGGTTTTTTCTGGGCACTCCGGCTTTCTCCACCAATAAAAACTGGCTGCCACGAAATAGCCCAAAAGCGGTGCTTAAAAGAGGCGTTAAAAACACAAAAAATCAAATCATTGCATATAAGAAAATAACCATCACTGGAAGTTAACCAATCAAATTTTCCCCTTTTATAAACCTGTGTACAAGCTTAAGTAACCATGTAACCTCAAGTTTCCAAAATATTCTATAGAAACCCCCAAATAAAAAAATAATGGTGCTTTTAAATACCCAAGATATATGTTTATGACCCAGAAATGTTTTACTGCAATGAAATGTAGGAATAATTACCTACAACTGTCAAATTCAAGGAAATATTTTTTTTCGACCTATTTTCGTATGCAACCGGATGTGACGTACTATGATTTGTTTCCACCTCTACAAAAGTCAACTGATAAAAATTTTCTTGTGGATATGCACATTTACATATTATGTCCTCATTAACTACAAAGTTTCATGAAATTCTGTTGTGTGGTTTCAGAGGAGTTGCGATGACAAACTGTTGCAGTAGTATATTGAGGCCAATAAGTTCAAAGGGGCATAACTCCTAGAAAAAACATGAATCATAATTTCCTGTCGATATGCACATCTACATAGTATGTCCTTATTATCTACAAAGTTTCATGAAATTCTGTTGCGTGGTTTCAGAGGTGTTCTGATGACAAACTGTTGTAGTAGTATATTGAGGCCAATAAGTTCAAAGGGGCATAACTCCTAGAAAAATAAAATGCTTCGCTGGGCGCAGCTTGATACGACCGCAGAGGTCGAACCCTGAACAGTTGGGGCAAGTATGGACACAACATTCAAGCTTGATACAGCTCTGAATTTGGATTGTGATTAAATATTTGACACAGCATAGGTTTCTGACACAGAAAGAATGTGGTCTAAGAACTTCAATTTTTTTAATTTACCTATTATGGTCCAATGTCCAAAATCAAAATACATGGTTAGATTCAGCATATCAAAGAACCCCATATATTCAATTTTTGTTGAAATCAAACAAAGTTTAATTTTGGACCCAAACTTGGACAAACTTGAAAACTGGTCCCATAATCAAAAATCTAAACACATGTTTAGATTCAGCATATCAAAGTACCCCAATGATTCAATTTTTGTTAAAATCAAACAAAGTTTAATTTTGGACCCTTTGGACCTTAATGTAGACCAATTTAAAAAACGGGACCCAAAATTAAAAATCTAAAAACACGGTTAGATTTGGCATATCAAAGAACCCCAATAATTCAATTTTTGATGAAATCAAACAAAGTTTAATTTTGGACCCTTTTGACCTCAATATGAACCAATTTGATAGCGGGCCCACAAAATAAAAAATCTAAATACATGGTAAGATTCAGCATATCAAAGAACCCCATATATTCAATTTTTGTTGAAATCAAACAAAGTTTAATTTTGGACCCCAATTTGGACCAACTTGAAAACTGGGCCAAAAATCTAAAATCTAAATACATTTTTAGATTCAGCATATCAAAGAACACCATATATTCAATTTTTGTTGAAATCAAACAAAGTTTAATTTTGGACCCCAACTTGGACCAACTTGAAAACTGGTCCCATAATCAAAAATCTAAACACATGTTTAGATTCAGCATATCAAAGAACCCCAAAAATTCAATTTTTGTTAAAATCAAACTAAGTTTAATTTTGGACCCTTTGGACCTTAATGTAGACCAATTTAAAAAACGGGACCCAAAATTAAAAATCTAAATACACGGTTAGATTTGGCATATCAAAGAACCCCAATAATTAAATTTTTGATGAAATCAAACAAAGTTTAATTTTGGACCCTTTTGACCTCAATATGAACCAATTTGATAGCGGGGCCCACAAATAAAAAATCTAAATACATGGTAAGATTCAGCATATCAAAGAACCCCATATATTCAATTTTTGTTGAAATCAAACAAAGTTTAATTTTGGACCCCAATTTGGACCAACTTGAAAACTGGGCCAAAAATCTAAAATCTAAATACATGTTTAGATTCAGCATATCAAAGAACCCCATATATTCAATTTTTTTTGAATTCAAACAAAGTTTAATTTTGGACCCCAACTTGGACCAACTTGAAAACTGGTCCCATAATCAAAAATCTAAACACATGTTTAGATTCAGCATATCAAAGAACCCCAAGAATTCAATTTTTGTTAAAATCAAACTAAGTTTAATTTTGGACCCTTTGGACCTTAATGTAGACCAATTTAAAAACGGGACCCAAAATTAAAAATCTAAATACACGGTTAGATTTGGCATATCAAAGAACCCCAATAATTCAATTTTTGATGAAATCAAACAAAGTTTAATTTTGGACCCTTTTGACCTCAATATGAACCAATTTGATAGCGGATCCACAAATAAAAAATCTAAATACATGGTTAGATTCAGCATATGAAAGAACCCCAAGAATTCAATTTTTGATGAAATCAAACAAAGTTTAATTTTGGACCCTTTTGACCTCAATGTGGACAAAGTTGATAACGGGGCCCAAAAATCAAAAATCTAAATACATGGTTAGATTCAGCATATCAAAGAACCCCATATATTCAATTTTTGTTGAAATCAAACAAAGTTTAATTTTGGACCCCGATTTGGACCAACTTGAAAACTGGGCCCATAATCAAAAATCTAAATACATGTTTAGATTCAGCATATCAAAGAACCCTAAAAATTCAATTTTTGTTAAAATCAAACTAAGTTTAATTTTGGACCCTTTTGACCTTAATGTAGACCAATTTGAAAACGGAACCAAAAATTAAGAATCTAAATACACGGTTAGATTCGGCATATCAAAGAACCCCAATAATTCAATTTTTGATGAAATCAAACAAAGTTAAATTTTGGACCCTTTGGACCTCAATGTGGACCAATTTAAAAACGGGGCCCAAAATCCAAAAACTTAATACACGGTTAGATTCAGCATATTAAAGAACCCCAAGAATTCAAGAATAAAACCCCATTGAAATTGATCAAGAAATAAGCAATTTATACGAAGTATCTTCTTTTGCACAATACTGTGCAATTGAATATTTCTTGCTATTGTGCAATACTGTACAATTGACAATTTCTTGCTATTGCGCAATATTGTGCTATTGGATATTTCTTGCTATTGCGCAATACTGTGCAAATGAAGATTTCTTGCTATTGCGCAATACTGTGCAATTGAAGATTTCATGCAATTGTGCAATACTGTGCAATTGAAAATTTCTTGCTATTGCACAATACTTATTATATAATAATTTACACATCCTGTTTGGTGTGTATCTCCTACCATATCATTATTATTTGCTTTTAAATATTAACTTAAAATGGAAAATTTTAAAAGAAAAAAAAAAGGAAAAAAAGAAAAAAAAAGAAAAAAAAAAATCCCCTCCCCAAATTTTTTGAACCCCCTTATGATTCATCACCCCCAAACTCAATCCCAGCCTTCCCTTTGTGGTATGGTACCTTGCAGTACAATTTCAGAGAGATCCATACACTTGAACACAAGTTATTGTCTGGAAACTAGAAAAATGCTTATTTTTGGCCCCTTTTTGGCCCCCTATTCCTAAACGTTTCGGGCAATTACCAACAAACTCAATTCCAGCTTTCCCTTTGTGATATGGAACCTTGTAGTACAATTTCAGAAATATCCAAACACTTACACACAAGTTATTGTCATGAAACTAGAAAAATGCTTGTTTTTTGCCCCTTTTTTGGCCCCTAATTCCTAAAATTTTGAGGCAATTACCCCCAAAATCAATTACAGCCTTCCCTTTGTGATATGGAACTTTGTGGTACAATGTCAGAGAGATCCATACACTTACACACAAGTTATTGTCTGGAAGTTACAAAAATGCTTATTTTTGGCCCCTTTTTGGCCCCTAATTCCTTAACTGTTGGTACCATAACCCCCAAAATCAATCCCAACCTTCCTTTAGTGGTATTGAACCTTATGGTAAAATTTCATGGAGATCCATTCACTTAAACTAAAGTTAGAGTGCGAAAACCAATGTGTCTTCGGACGACGCCGGACGACGACGACGACAACGACGACGACGACGACGACGCCAACGTCATACCAATATACGACCAAAAAATTTTCAATTTTTGCGGTCGTATAAAAATTGAATCATAATTTCCTGTCGATATGCACATCTACATAGTATGTCCTTATTATCTACAAAGTTTCATGAAATTATGTTGTGTGGTTTCAGAGGAGTTGTGATGACAAGAACAGGACTGACGGACTGACAAACAGACGGGTCAAAAACATTATACCCTCTGCAAACTACCAAATAACTGGCATTTTGTATGATCAATATATAATTGAGATAGCTGTAGAGTTTTATCAAAATCCAAGTTGATTTTAAAAAGTTATAGAAATTTTCAAAGGTGACTATCTGAATTTAGACCGAACTGAAAATTATAGCTTTTTTTACCTATTAATTAAATCCTTAAACTTGACAGAAATAAACCAAACTTCCAATTAACCTGGTATTTTGTAAGATCAATAAATAAACCGTTGATATAAGTTTCATAAATATCTGATAAGGATTGTACATGTGAGAGCGCTTACAATGCAATTTTACATATAATTAGAAATTCCAAGGGGCATAACTCTTTTAAAAGTAGTAGATTGGCATTCATTTTCCAACTTGTCTGAGACATTGCTGACATAAATCTCTGATATAGGTTTGATAAAATTAGGCAAGAATAATACATGTGAGAGCGTTTACAATTCAATTTTTCATATAATTAATATTTCCTAGGGGCATTACTCTTTTAAAAATAATCAATTGGCATTGATTTTCAAACTTGTCTGAGAAATTGCTGATATAAACCCTTGATATAAGTTTTATAAATATCTGGCAGGAATTGTACATGAGATAGTGTTTAAAATGCAATTATTCATTGTATTAAAAAGCAAGGAAGTTTGAGACCTCAGTAACAAAGTTATGTAACTTAATATCATCTCTGTTCAACACTGCTGCACCACATAAAGCAGTCAAGGTGAAGAATATCAATTTCATTACTTTTTTCAGTTTCCCTTCGATGTGACCAAAAAACCCTGTAAAATTGAAAACACAGCATGTTATCAAACCTGAAAAAGGCTGGCTGATTATCACTGATGTGCTGACTGTTCCCTTGACTGGAACTTTGCAAAGTGGTACCAGTCTTACTTTCTGTGCTACTTGATCCTTGCACTGATCTATTTCCCGTCTTTGTGTGATCCATACCAGGCATGTATAAATTAAATTCACTACCTGTTAAATCTGGGAAAAAATAAATTTATTTGGTACATAAACTGTAAGTTAATGTTAGGTTTATAGATGCAGCAAGTATTACATGTATAAATTCAAACACAAAGTCAAATGATATAGCATCGATGCTCATTTTATTTAACTGATTAAACATTTGAGATATCTAGTTTAAAGTTAAACATGCCACAAGGTTCATGATTTGGTCCCAACTCAGAACGATTTAGAGACATATTGTATAGACACATAAAGATTGTGTGCTGACCTCCAGATGTCTTTTTAACTGTTTGTGTTGTTGGTTTGCTGCCTCAATGTATCAAAGCAAGTTTGTAGATCCTGATAATTAGTGCCATTGTGTGTAAGAATATATATAAGTATTAAGTAACAGGAAGTTGATGCACATTGGATGTGGAAAAGTATCAAAGGGAGCATACTCACATGAAGCTTAATACAAAATTTCAGGAAGCTCTACTTTGTAGTTCCTGAGAAAAATGGGACAAAAATTTTGAAATGGTCATTATGTGTAAGTATATATAAAAATTCTTTAATCAAGAAGTTGAGTAAAAGATGTGAAATGCATCACATGGCATTCCAACTAGAAGCTTGATACCAAATTTCATGGGTGGGTAAGGTGGGGTGACAGATTGACAGACTCAAGGATGAAAATCAGCACACCTACCCTCCTTAAGAGACAGTTAAAAAAATATTTCCTTACCACTCATTGCATCCACTTGAATTAAACCTAATGAAGAATTTCTACTGGCTTCATATCCTCCTGACCTGTAATTAAATACCAAAACAAGCAAATTATGACATTTAAGGACCAAAGCTAAAAAGGCCTGTATTTAAATCTTGGCAAAAAATGTTGTTAGAGTTACATGTAACAAACATTTCTCTTACAAATTCTATACACATGTATACAAGTGAATCTTTTTTCCACATGTATCTATGAAACATCTCAAACAGTCTGTTGTGTATGTAGCATAAAGACCCGGTTTTCCAAATTATGTGTTTTTTTTATTTCCTTGCTCAAGTTAATGCCCATCCTATTTATAGCTGCACTGTGTACATTTTTTATTCTGTATTTTAGTTTTACATCATATGGTCTAGAAAGGAAACGTGGGGAGGTTTGTGTACACATAAAATTGCTTCAACCCCACCACATTTTGTGCCTGTACCAAGTCAGGCTATCTGGACCATACATTTGTATATTGTGTATTGTTTGTGCATCTACTTATTCAGGTGTCAGGTGTTTGTGATTGATGTGATCTGTTTAACTGTTCATGAACTATTCATTTTCAAGTAAATTTACCCAATTCCATATGGAGGCTGACCCCAGGAATTCTGAGACAATAAACTGTCATCCTGTCTTGAAAGGAGCTGTTCTGATTTGCTCCCAGTCACTTCTCTTGGCTTTAATAACTGGTTTGACTGATCAAATGCACTGAAGGATAATCTCAACTGATGTATGGATGAATTACTTTCTCCACCAGTGGGAGTAGAAATTGAATTGTTATTAATAAATGAACCACTTTTTATATCATCTCCAATTCGTGCTTTATTTCTAAAATTGATAAGATATACAAGATAAGATTGAAAAAATTAACCAGTGTTAATAGGTTCCCTCTAACCTAGGCAAGTGGTAAAACAGCACATAATAACAATTTCTTTATTTTCTTGTCAAATATTTGTAAATGTCTTGTAGATGGTTTGCTGGCTCATTGACAACTACATCACATACATGTGTATTTACATCTTTATTTATGTTTTCTTATTTTTTAATCTAAATTATATGGAGCAGAACAACTTTCAACATACTTTTATAACCAAGTTTGTGTCCTTTTAAATGAGTATGAAATGCTCCTTACCCGTTTCCCCTAGCCACAGTTGACATAGCCAGAGGTTTGTTCCGGCTGAAGGAGTATTCATTGTCTATATTGGTTGACTGCCCTTCTTCAGCAACAGCTGACAAATCCTCTATACTAATACTGTCTTTTAGATCCATCACTTTCTATGACATCTTTAATATAGGTTAACACTGGTGGATTCTTCTAAATAACATGGTGAGGACCACTGTAAATAAATATAACATTTACTAAAATCAAAATACTGGTTATATTATTGATTATAAAGTATATAATTTTGAGATATACCGTATATATTAACATACACATCACTTTTACTTTCATTTCATCTTCAGAAATTTGATTTCCATGTCTTGTAATGTATACAAATTCCTTGTATAACAATTTGGACGAAATAATTATTCAACAAGGCATCAGACAATTATATATATTTAGATTCAATTACAGTAGTGTCCGGTAATTTTGCCTGACTGGTAAACCTGCCAACTCCCATTTACTTCCGTATGTGTCACTTCTGTCAATATTTCGTCTGCTATTTTATTCATAGGAACTGTACTTATCATCACTGCATGTCAAATTTTAAAGAAAAATCCTTTATTACGAAAATATCTAGTGATATATATAATACAGTTCCTAAAGCTAACGATAATCATATCATATTATTGCTTACAAAACTCATTTCTGACTTTAAATTTTTTTTTTTTGGATTAACTGGAATTCCTTTATAAGTTTTTTATTAATAGATCACCTTTTCGTTTCATAAATATGTGATAAACTGGCCCTCTATACAAATTTACTGTGCATGGGCGGATTTACCAGACAAACACATTTCTTATAAAAACACAGATGACTCACTTGTTTTGTAGATTTTAAAATTTATTTCAGATATTTTTGGGGAAATGAGATAAACTGCTCCAAAATGATTTCGTCAGTGAATCGATTTATATTAAATTTGATACAATTCGTATATAATTAAGCAGAAATACATACTATCAAAGCCTTATGTGGGCGGATTTACCAGACTGCATCATAGCCAATTTCTATTGCATAATTGATTATAGGCGCCCATTATGTTAAAATTACATATATTTCAAATTATAGTCTTTTTGATTAATATTATCAGTAGTTGACCATAAAAAAAATAGTACTTTCTAGAAATATCAAGGGATTTTTGGGTATTCAATGATCATATACTATAGATATAAGATGTGATATGAGTGCCAATGAGACAACTCTCCATCCAAGTCAAAATTTATAAAAGTAAACCATTATAGGTCAAAGTACGGTCTTCAACGCGGAGCCTTGGCTCACATCGAACAGCAAGCTATAAAGGGCCCCAAAAATTACTAGTGTAAAACCATTCAAACAGGAAAACCAACGGTCTAATCTATATAAAAAACGAGAAACGAGAAACACTTATGAACCACATCAACAAACGACAACTACTGAACATCAGATTCCTGACTTAGGACAGGTGCAAACAATTGCAGCGGGTTTAAACGTTTTAATGGTACCAAACCTTCACCCTTTTTCTGAAACAATAGTGTAACATCACAACATAGAAACACACACTATAAAATATCAACTGAAATGGCTCAACCCAATCAAAGGACATATTAACACCAGTGAACATACACTGAACAAATAAATTAGTATATGTCAACTTCATACCTGCCAACATTTCAAAATGCCAATGGGGGTTTTATGTGTGAGATTGCTCTCATAATTCTACAAAACCCTTAAAGGGGCCTTCAAATTTATTGTAATGGTTTGCTTAATACTATTGCAAACCTATAACCATGTTATATTGAGTGTTTTGTTTTAATTTTGAGCAAAATTCCTCTTTCAAAATTTCCATTTTTGAGCTTTCATGGGGGAAATCCCCACAAATAGTGACAGTTGGCAGGTATGCAACTTAGTCTTAGATGAATTTGTTTCAAACATTTTAAATGCTCATCCGTTACAATTAGGCTCCACTAGTAATGATCGATAATCCCAATACTGACAAGGGAGGAGCAAACTCAGGTTATGCTATTGTATATAAATTATATTTTATGACTACATAAACTGTTGTTTATATACATATGATGATGTGTTTATCACTGAACAGCTGAACGTTTATGCTTAAATTGTATGAAGATTTCATTTGTTTAAATTTGTAGACTTATGGCTTAACAGATATTCTTAATTTGACATGCACAGTTGTATCTTTATCATCTATTTTCTGCTACATCTTTTGTAAACTAGTGACTTGTCAGAATTTTTTTCTTGTAAAAACACATCATAATTCTGCATGCACTGTTCCCTTATCTTTACGTTTTGTATGCACCTAGTTATACTACGTGTGGTACAAGTCAATTTTCTGATAAAATGATAACGCTACCTTAGTATTAAGTGTTTCTATTTGATTGCATTCTTTCTGTGTTTTCTAAACAGTATTTTGAAATATTTTTTGTACCGCCAAAGCATAACCGGAAGTGATAGTTGCCACAGATGTCGCTGTGGAAAATAAAATAAATATCGCATCCCGACTTTTATATTTATTATAGGATTAAACGACTTTCTAAAGGAATTTATTGGTGTATAAACTGGACCAATTAACTCACAAAAAACAAGTTCGAAGGGTTTTTATGATATGTTTGTCGGTGACATGGAGTCAAGTTTTTCACCAATACCCTTTAAAAGGCGTTCTTTAAAATTGGAGATAAGTAATTTAATTTCTTTATCACCTCTATCACGAGGACGTAAATTGTATATTTGTGTCATTGAATTGGCATGGCGCATGAATATATTTTTGGTTAACGCAAAAAAAATATACTCAATGAAATTTGCTTTCTGCTAAAAATAAAATACAAAAATATCTTATTATCATTGAAATGAATGTTTGTATTAGGCCTACTTAATTTAACGATGAACGCGAAGCGAAAACAAATATTTTTAATATGGCAATCATACCACATCTTCTTATTTTTGTTCTATCACATATTTCTGGGGAAAATACACCAATAACTACCATTATTACGCTATTTCATGGAAAGTCAAATATATTTGACAAATATCTTATGTAATAAATTAAGTTACTATTCACGGCTGTGGTTAAAAATTGCATCTCACGGTAAAACATATAGTTTCGGGTACCGTTTTGATTGAATGAAATAAAAAACCTTATGATATATATCATCTTATCTTTTCGACCTTATCATATATTATGCAGCTTATGACAATTTTTTGTAAATGTTTCAATGAGACAGCTGACAAACATGTACCTTTAAAAAAAAGAAAAATATTCCCAAATCAGGTACCATATTTGAATGCAGAGCTCAAATGTGCCATTTACAGAAAGAAAACGATAATACGAATACGAAAGTTTTATTTTGATTCGGTTCACATATAACAGTACAAACATAAGCTCTTGAGAACTCTTTACCAAATATAAATAACATATACATAACATTAAAACACAGAACATGCAGATAAGATATATAAGCAGCTATTATTATTTCAATGCATAGATACAACACAGGCATATGGAAAATACATGCAAAGCACTACTAAACTACACATCTAAACATGCCAAAACTGAAGCATAACTAAAATTGAAGCACAACTAAAATTTAAGCACAACTAAAAATTAAGCACAAATAAAAAATAAAGCACACATGCAAAATTTAAGGCATAATGCAAACATTTAGAGTTATAACTAAAAAATAATATATGAAAGCTTATCTTCATGCAGAACAACGGCATTCCGATCCATTCCAGACTGTATAAGGCTCTTGATCTGTGAAAAACTATCGCCAGTCCTGAAATGGTCAGGTAGGCTGTTTCACAGAGTAGCAGCTGCAAATTTAAAACTTTTCTTACCAAACTTTAATAAAATTGAGAATGGAAATGGGGAATATGTCAAAAAGACAACAACTCGACCAAAGAGCAGATAGCGAGAAAATCCCGCACCGGAGGTGGGCCTCAGCTGGCCCCTAAATACAAAATTGTACTAGTTCAGTGAAAATGGACGTCATACTGAACTCCAAAACATATAAATGAACGAAAATTAAAAAAACATACAAGACTAACAAAGGCCAGAGGCTCCTGACTTGGGACAGGCGCAAAAATGCGGCGGGGTTAAACATGTTTTGTGAGATCTCAACCCTCCCCCTATACCTCTAGCCAATGTAGAATAAAGAAACACACAGCAATACGCACAGTAAAACTCAGTTTAAAAAAAGTCCGAGTCCGATGTCAGAATAGGTAACAAAAGAAACTAAGAAAAATGACAATGATACATAAATGAACAAAGGACTACTAGCAGTTACTGACATGCCAGCTCCAGACCTCAATTAAACTGATTGAAAGATTATGTCTTCATCATATGAAAATCAAGCACAATCCCTCCCGTTAGAGGTTTAGTATCATACCATCATAAAATATATGAGAAGAACATAACCCGTATCATGCCAACAACTGGTTTTAGAATAAATGTGTTTATTTCCGATGCAAAGAACCTATCAGTGAATCAATATAAGTACCAAAATATGCCATTCTTAATGACTTGACAACAGTATCGTAACTATATCCCTTCTGAATAAGTCTGTTTAAAGGTTTGGTTAGCTTTTGAGGTGAATGCCGACATTTTTGTGCTTTGTAAAGAATATTACCATAAAAGATTGGATTTGAAATACCTGAACGTATAAGATAAAATTGAGAATGGAAATGGGGAATGTGTCAAAGAGACAACAACCCGACCATAGAGCAGACAACAGCCGAAGGCCACCAATGGGTCTTCAATGCAGCGAGAAACTCCCGCACCCGGAGGCGTCCTTCAGCTGGCCCCTAAACAAATATGTATACTAGTTCAGTGATAATGGACGTCATACTAAACTCCAAATTATACACAAGAAACTAAAATTAAAAATGATACAAGACTAACAAAGGCCAGAGGCTCCTGACTTGGGACAAGCGCAAAAATGCGGCGGGGTTAAACATGTTTTTTGAGATCTCAACCCTCCCCCTATACCTCTAGCCAATGTAGAATAAAGAAACACACAGCAATACGCACAGTAAAACTCAGTTTAAAAAAAGTCCGAGTCCGATGTCAGAATAGGTAACAAAAGAAACTAAGAAAAATGACAATGATACATAAATGAACAAAGGACTACTAGCAGTTACTGACATGCCAGCTCCAGACCTCAATTAAACTGATTGAAAGATTATGTCTTCATCATATGAAAATCAAGCACAATCCCTCCCGTTAGAGGTTTAGTATCATACCATCATAAAATATATGAGAAGAACATAACCCGTATCATGCCAACAACTGGTTTTAGAATAAATGTGTTTATTTCCGATGCAAAGAACCTAGTGTGATACGATCATTATCTCTTCATGCGAGAAATAGATAACAGGCCAAAACCATAAGAGAATGTAGGTAATTAATTGTATGTTTTGAGGATCTCTATTTCATTAGGAATCAATATAAGAAATAATACGATAAAACAATGGAAAATAAGGAATTCTATAATTTTGTTAAAGGAATAATCATCTATTCGTATTAAAAATGTACCTGTGTCATTTTCATGAATAATATAAAATATATGATAAAAGTATTAAATGATATTTCAAATAGATTCCTTCAAATACATTGGCATACTGACTATCATGACTATAGCACTACTGATTAAATCACATGTTACTGTTGTCATTTTCAATGTACTTTCCTTTGCGTTGACGACATTTACCACCTGCTGAGTACTGGATAAACTCAATATCTGCTTACTGATTCTTCAGTAGTTTTACTAAGTTGAAGAAGTTTGGGCGTGGGTGCTATACATGATTCTTTAGTTTATGATGCGATCCTTTAAAGTGTTTGTTTGTTCTTGAGCCTACTACTTCGTTATGGTTCCCGTGGTGGCGGTTACCCTCAACCTAGTATTCTGTGACATAGTCAGTAAAGTTAACTATAAAGTGTTGATGTTTGTGTTAGTTCAATCTATTTCTTCTAATGCATCCTAACTATGTCTAACTGTGCATTTGCCATACTGACTTGTGAATGATGGAATTTCAAATTACAAATTAGCGACACAAAATGTAACCATAAATCTCACAACTAAAGTTAATTAATATATAAAACAAACACTAAGTACTTTTTCTAAAGTAAAACTAAGTAAATAAAGAGTGCATATTCTCACTGGAAATCCGCCGTCTAATAAATGCGATAAAAAATCATTTTACTTGATAGCAATTTCAAATTTCATATTGCAAAATTAATTTGATTTAAAATTATTTATTTTATAGTTAAAGTTTGGTATTTTTGTATATTGTGTTGCTTGTTTATTGTATGTTTCATATTTAGTATAATAAAATAATTAACAAAAGTGAGCATAAAAATTCGGCATCTTTTTTTAAACTTTAAAATTATATTTTTAATAAAAACAAGTAGTCTATTAATATATTTCATAAAACAAAGATTGAATTTTTAGTCCGGTAAAATTTAATGGTTCGATTCTATCTCGACGACGTAAGCAATATTGTTTGGCCGTTTAATTTAACACACAACCTTTTACATAAAATGATAATTTGACATCACCAATTAACATTTACTAACCGTGAAATATATAAGTATTTGCACAACATTTCATAACATTTCATTAAAGGAAAATAGGGTTTTCCTTTAAAGAAAGAGTCAATCGTTATAGCATGTCTTTTCTGCAGAGGATTGAGAAAGGATTGAGAAAAAAAAAAATAAGATGGTTTTCGAACTCATCGGTACTTTCACGATACAAGGATGATGATGATGAACGCCATCTATTTGTCGCCATAAATGAAGGAAATTTCCTGCTGGCTAGAATATTAATTGAAGGAAAAGTAAAAGTCAATTGTAAGGACTATGTTGGATCTACCCCATTGATTGTAGTTACCTTTGTAAAAAGAATGCCAAAGTGAAATTGTAAATACTGTAAAGCTTGTCAAATTCTTATGAGTAAAGAAGGCGACTCAATATGAAAGAATACCTTTGGGAAAAATGCGTTTGACTATGTCGAAGAAAATGGTGGCTCAGAAGAAATTGAGCAATTATTTTATAATGCTATACAGAAACCTCTCAACAATTGATTATCGGGAACATTTATGAACATTTGTTTTATATCGTACTGTACTATTGTGTTTCTGAAACTTGTATATGCAACTATGAACAATAAAAACAAGATTATTTGCATGCTGTTTGTGAAAATTTTGAAGCATAATTTTAATTTTCGTTTATTCAAGATTTTAAAAATAAATAAAAAAATATGTTGTATGCATTTGTTTTTATTTTATGGTCTGTATTTTCCCGATTGCGACCTTGTGAAAGAATGTGGATTCGCTTGGTGGGTGTTGCATGCATGACATGAAATACTTACCCTGTCACCGCTCCCGGTCTCTCTTCTATTTTATTTCGTGCGTTTCCCTCATATTTTTTTTAATTTTACCTTCATTTGTATCTTCTTAA